ATATATATATATATATATATATATATATATATATATATACAGAAAATTTAAATTGATACATAAACCTAACAGGTCTGAAACAAAATAAATAAATCTAAACATGGAAAAGGAATTCTTATTTCTTACAATTGGAATTTCATGTTAATCTTGCTAACCTCGAATCAATGGTCATTTAGTGAAAAGTGTAGCAGACTCTAAATATGTTTTGATTTCGGGGACTAAATTTCATTGTTAACAAAGAAAAGAGTACTGAACTGCTACGTGATATCTGCCCTCCTTTACGGCAACAAATGTTGAACAGTCTCCTCAATGATGAAGAAGAGACTCGAGGCAACAGAGGTATGGTTCTACAGAAGGATACTAAGGATACTATGGACTGAACATGTGAGCAACAATGAGGTTTTGGAAAGGATGCAAACAAGGAGGAAGCTTATACTTAACATCAGGAAGAGGCAGCTGAAATTTCTGGGACATGTAATGAGAAAGGAGAGCTTGGAGAATCTAATACTCACAGGGTGGATAGAGGGAAAGAGAGACAAGGGAAATCAGTGCATGGCATACCTGGTGGGTTATATCATAAGTAAGTGGATGATGGAACAGGGTTTGGGAAAAGTAGCAAAAGGACATAGTTACAAGAGATGGGGAGAAGTGGAGAGCTATGACCGCTTATGTCCTGAAGGGACACGGCACATAAAAGAATGTGTCTATCCCATTCAAACAAGATGATGTCAATATGGTCAGGACACATGATAATATTAACAAAAGTTAGCCATGAGCAACTTAACACATTGAATTTATCTTTAAACCAATGCTGAGATATTCAATTTATATTTAAATTCATTTTATCAAAGTTACACCCAGTGCCAGGTAACTTTGATAATGGCAAAAATATAAAATATATCTAATGTATAATCGAATCAAAAGTCATAATTATTATCTACAATGCGGTTGCAGGAAGAGTGTTACTGAAACAAAGAATGACAATCAGGGATGTATTTTGGCTAGAAAAGTTAGCAAGAGTACTGAAAAACTTTTCTTTTTTTTTCTTTTTTCTCAAAGGTCATTAGTAGACATAATTTAAGTTTTAGTCATATATTTAGTCTTTATCTGATTTACGTCATTGTTTACTGTTTGTTAATTTAAGTCTTTTAAGTTGTTTGAATATATGAAATCTTTGAAAGGCGAAAAGATGAAATCTTTGACTTGTGTCTTTCTCAGTTTTCAGGTCATTTTTCGTTCTGTGACCCTTTAGTAAAGGAAATGTTTACACATTTCTTAGCATTGCCCATGTAAATCTTTGGTTTCTTTTTATTTTTTTTTTTTTTTTTTTTTTACTTCTGTTATCAGGGTTTTAACTTTTTTTTTTATTGCAACAAATTATGCAGCACTTATTTTGATTACCACATTACTTACATTAATTACTTCCCTACTTAGGTAAATGTAAATAGTCTTTGTTGGCAATAATATAAGTGACAGGTTTCTATAAAAACGCAATGTTGATTATTTATGGATAATTTGTTTAAATAATGCACTGACTATTTTTTGCGTTTGCAAAGTGATGCCTTAAAGAAGTTATCAAAAGCCCCCAAAATAAATGCTGGCAATTTGTATGTTAAATCGATCATTACCTCCTTTTAGGCGGCATACATTGAGCATCAAATATCAGTTTTCAACATAACTTTTCTCATATTTATCAGAAAATCTTGATTTAGGCATATGATTTTTGGACTGAATCCACCTTTTGCAATGAAAATCCCTTTAAAAGAGAATCTAAATGAATTAAATGCAGAATTTGTTGTTTTCAGGAATATGAGAGCTTTACTGTAGACCAGAGTTTCTAGACATAAATTTTTAATTAGAAATGTGTTAATTTTGTTTTAATCTTCTCCTTAACTACAAATAAAACTCAACAAATTGCACAGCAATTATTTTGATTAACCAGGTTACTTAGAAGGATTACTTTGCTACTTATGTAAATGTAAAAAACAGTCTAAGCTGGCAATAATATAAGTGACAGATTGCTATAAAAAGGCAATGTTGATTATTTATGAATAGCTCATTTGAACAATGCATTGAACCATTCAGTATTTGTCTATATTTCTTAGATGAGGTATTATGTACACTATTTATATTATTCAGACTATTGTCTTCATCTTTGTCACCATATTTATTACAACGTTTTGGACATTGTAATAACTAACGCCTTTATCCACTGTGCCATGTCCTCAAGGACACATGGCACAGTGGATAAAGGAGTTAGTTAGATCCAGTGACAGGACCCAAAGAGTATGAGTTGAATACCCAGTTAAGACAGTGGAGGACATGGAGAGGCGAATTAACAGGAAATAACTGACAACTTACATCCATTAAACATGGCACGTGGAACTAGAACAGTCTACCCCAGTGAGGGTTCGAGTAAAGGGTTCAGTTTGACATTCCAATCACCTGAAGAAGGCCGAAACGTGCAATGGCCGAAACGTTGTAATAAATATGGTGACAGACGAGAACAATAGTCTAATTAATGTAAATTGTGTGCATTGAACCATTGTTTGCATCACGTGACAATAATTGTAAGTGAAATGATGCACTAAAATAAGTAACCAAGTAATCTTTTTAAGTTCTCCAAAAATTGGTGCCTTTTTTTTTTTTTTTTTTTTTTTTTTAAGTTTTTAATTTTTTTGTTAATTTATTATTTTTTTTTGCATTCTCTTGATTCATTTAGATTTAGTAACAATTATGGATTTACAAAAAAAAAAATATAAGGGGCTATGTCAGAAATAGTCTTTCACTTTATTATTTGTAGTTTTTGCAAATAAGCCAACATTTATTCAGACTTTGTCTCTATCTTTAATTTGGTACTGTTTTTCTTTTCTTTTTTTTATTTCTTCCCAGCAACAATTCTTTGTTTGCTGTCCCTGCCAACCAAGAATTTGTCTACATTCATAATCGAAAGGCAGACATAAATGATCCGGTCCTGTACTTCTTGCTCCAGTTGCGAAATTCACACACGGTCAATAAAGATGGCGGTAAATATCTTTTCTTTGTCATAAAACCAATAGATATGAACTTGTATCACATAGCTTCATGGTGGCCACAGAAATTTGTCATATACATGCCAGATAAAAAGAAAAGTGACCATTGGAGGCAGGGGATATCTTATGGTTAAGTGAAAATTTTGATATCCTTTATTTTATGTTTTTATCAATTCACACCAAGCAAGGTGATAACACCACTAAGATGCAAGGTGCTACTGGAAGTGTAAGAGAAGGAGATTTTAGAAGGAACTGGAAACCTAATAATAGTATAAATTTCAGCATTTAGGCAGAGACTTTAGAAGGAATTGAAAACCCAATCCTAAACAAGAAACTAGGGAAAACCTCTACTGCTGTTCAAATGGCTAAGGAAATGTGTGAACTGCTATTGAGGAGAAATAAATAAGTAAAATAAAGTAAATACTAAAAATGTTCAAGCAGAGAAGTTGGAAAGGTGCTTACATGCCAAAGTGTACACTTACACATTCAAAAATTAATACGTCGTTAAAATCAGGTTCAGAAAAAAAAATGAAACAAAATAAAAAAAATCTTCATTATTCGGACTATTGTCCTCATCTTTGTCACCATATTTATTACAACATTTCGGCCGTTGTATGCTCCGGCCTTCTTCAGGTGGTTGGAATGTCAAACTGAACCCTTTATTTCGCTCACTGGGGTAGACTGTTCTAGTTCCACGTGCCAGGTTTAATGGATGTCAGTTGTCAGTTATCTCCTGTTAATTCCCCTCTCCAAGTCCTCCACTGCCTTAAGTGGGTATTCAACTCACACTCTTTGGGTCCTGTCACTGGATTTAACTAATGCCTTTATCCACTGTGCCATGTGTCCTTGAGGACATCTGTGTATGAATTTCTGGTTATTATAAACCTAATGTCTTCAGCAACAATTTTTTACCAGCTCATATTGCTGAAATGTAATAAATATGGCGACAAAGATGAGGACAATAGTCCGAATAATGTAAATAATGTACATAATACCTCATCCAGAAATATAGACAGATACAAAAAAAAAAAAATCTTAAATAAATTAAAATAAAAAAAACAAATGTAAGAAAACTTTCCTGTTTCTATTTTATTGAAACTGTCCAGGTTACTTTCTTTGTATCCCAAGATGCTTTGTCTAGATTCTTCCACTTATCCCATTTATATTTTTTTCTTCTTTATTCCCCTATCTACCCTGTCAGCTGTGGCTTCAGAATACGCTGACTTCACCTCTGTAGAGGCGTAAATGTCCTGCCCCCAATGAGGCCACGTGTTTGCCATAAAACAGTTGGATGCTTTGCTGTACTTGATATAATAATGCAGAAACAATTGCCTGACAAAGCCTCAATCTTTAGTGCAGAAGCCTCAGCCATGCACACTTGGCTTTAGATATTATAGAATCCAGTGGGTCAGATAGATTCATTATCTGAACTCACATCATTAAATAATAAAAACATGGGAAACCCTTTAATAAATAAATTACTAAATAGGATTGACACTATAGGAAAAAAGATGTTGTAATAGTTCTATGCTGGATACCAAGCCATATTGGAATACAAGGAAATGGAATATCTGGCAAAATGGTAAAGGAATCGCTGAACATGGCCCTCTTAAATATAGAAATTCCACACACTGACTTCCAACCTACTATAAACAGGATCATTAAAGAAAAATAGTAGCAATTATGGAACAACTGTTAAAATAACAAATTATGCAACATCCAACCAATCATTAGTGAAAGACTGTCAAGTTACAGAAAGATAAGTAGAGAGGAGGTGGTACTAGCCCAGACTCTGTATAGGGTTCACATACATAACCCACCAACATCTGCTAAAATATGAGGAACTGCCAGTATGTGTCCCATGCAGGGAATCATACACTGTTAAACACATTCTACTAAATTGCCATAACTTTCAGCAAACCTGAAACAAACACTACACATTGGATAACTTAAAGGACATATTTGAAAATACTGATCCAAGTAACATCATAAATTTAATTAAAGAAATTAGGTTTGACAAGAAAATATAAAAACAAACTCTTTACCTAACCTACTTACCTACATTGTTTTGCAACCAATTTTATTCAACCTACAATTCCCAAGAAAAAAAACAAACCTTGGGTTGATGTGCCATAAAACAGATCAATCAAGCAACGATGTTATATTACTCCTGTTATGTATGTTATGTTACTTACCATATATACTCATGTATTGTTCAACCCCCAAATCTTGACTTATAAAATTAGTGTATGTACTACTGGTCCTGGTTATGCCATTGACCAAACTATATATCCATTTACTGTAGTCAAAAAGTACAGCTGTATTTAAAATAAACATGATTTTAATAAAATTGATGTTTTACTTAACTGTATTATATATTAATGCATGTAATATTCACATATTAGTATCCTATAAAATACAAACATAGCAAATATGCATTTTTTCCATTGTTTACATTTATAAGATGTTTAGCTATTTCTCATTTGGTTGTTTATGGCTGTATGTATTTATACAATGAGTATAGTGTTACTTATCATACGAATTCCTTTTTGGAGAGACCAAATTACAAAAGACTAATCTCTTTTCTTCTATCTCTTTATCCCATCTTCTAGTTAAATAAGTTAAAGAGAATGATAAAAGTATTGTTAGTAACAAATACAGCTGTACTTTTTGACTACAATAAATAGATGTATAGTTTGGTCAACAGTGTCGCCAGGGCCAGCAGTACATACACTAATTTTATATCTCGTGTATGATGTGACCCCTTAAAATTAGCTTCAAAATTAGGTCTTCAAAAGTCACGATACGCAAGTATATGCAGCATGTTAATTTGGCTTAAACAAAATATTAAGTTAACTAAAAAGAATTACTAATTACATCATTTTATTCTATAGTCAAGAATTCTATCAGTTTTAATAATTATAATGAAATGTTTTTCAATTCATTAGACTTGAGCAGGAAAAATTTAAGCAACTTGAGCATTAATTCTTGTAACAAAAATTAAGTAAACTGAGTACTGTTTAATCCTTTGATCCCTGATCACCATTTTACCTGTGGTAGAGAAAAATGGTGTAATGCCTAGCCACCAGTTGAATGGTGGGTAAACACTTGTTACTATTTTTGTATCTACCATGAAACATTACATAGCAATTATTTGTTAATTTTTGACTTGGGAGTTCAGGCAGAAAGGTTAAAATTGTTTCAGGAACACAAGGCTCAAAGAGTGAAAATCCTAAGTTGCTTATATAAGAAAAGTGAAAACATATTGTATGTGTAACTTCTCTGATAAACAAGTAGAAACTGTAGAATTTTCCTGGTTAGTTTCTAATTATGTTCATGTCTAATTATTTACAGAACCTACAAAAGGAGGAAAAAGTTACCAAACAAATCGCCGGACAAACCAGGGAAGCCCTGGGCGTAACGATGGCACAATGCGCTCAACTTTGGCCAACAAATCTCTGTCTACTTCTTCTGACAATTCATTTCATGATTTCCTTTGGCCACATATTCAACTTGCTTTCACTAAAGGTTTTGACGATAATGTAGGAAAAAGACAAATTCCAGCACTTTTTGAGGTAAGACATTTTTTTTTTTTTTTTTTTTTTTTTTTAAATTAATGGCTGTAAAAACTCAAGTGTTTTTAGGTGTCAGATATATTTAAAAATAATAAATAAATAATAAAAATGTATATATTTAAAAATAATGTTAAAATCTAAGTTTTCAGTATTTGGTATAACTTGAGACACCAAATAGGCTTTTAGAATATGCCAACTGCATCCTACCTGCAGAAGGGTAAGGACCTGTCCACCAAATGGATAAACTTCTGAGTATATACTTACAGACCATAGTATAAACCCAACCAATGTATCTAGTGTGAAATAAACCTTTGTTTGCCTTTAAGTGTCAAATGGACTACGACCTACATTTGTTTTTGTTTTTTTTGTTTGTTTTTTTTTTTGTAGTGCAAACCAAATTCATTTGTACCTTCTTTTTTTTTTTTTTACTTCACTGTAAACTGTAAACAACCTATGTGTTCCCAATTCACTGTGATTTTTTTTCATATAAGACTTATTTTTACATTAAATAGACTAACAAGGGTTTTTTCTTTTTTTCTTTATCTTTTTCTTATTTTCTTTTTCTTTTTCTTTCTTTTTCTTTCTTTTTCTTTCTTTTTCTTTTTCTTTCTTTTTCTTTCTTTCTTTTTCTTTCTTTTTCTTTCTTTTTCTTTTTCTTTCTTTTTCTTTCTTTTTCTTTCTTTCTTTTTCTTTTTCTTTTCTTTTTCTTTTCTTTTTCTTTTTCTTTTTCTTTTTTTACAACAATGTTCACCCAGTTCAGGGCCCAAAGGCCACTCAAGGTAAAGAGGAACAGCTTATGTAGATATGTGTGGAATTTAAGGGTTAACCCCAGACTCCAACAGATTAAGATTTTAGTGATTGGGGAAGCATCCTCTTGGGAGTCAGTTCTACAAGGCAGTGGTTTGTGGGAAGTCTTAGCCATGAAGCTTAGGACTGGTGGAACTAAGGAGTGTAGTTCATCTGAACACTTTCCATGGAAATAGCAATAGAGTGGCATAAGGCATGTGACATCTCCTCTGTGAGATGTTAAATTAACAAACCTAACTCTTGACACCCCTTATAGAGAGTTTATTTATTTTTTTTATTCTTTGTTAATAAGATGCAAATTGAAATATTTACTAAATGTTTACTGGTTATTTATTTTATTTACTTACCTTTATTTTTGAGGTTTTTGTTATATATTTTATTATCATGCAAAGTGGCCCAAAAGTTCTGTAACTATCTAACTTTAGTTCATGCTTTAATTTCAATTTTAGATTTCATAGATTACATAAAGTCATTAAGCAAATCATCTCTCCAGAATGTATCCATCTATTTTGAACATCTCAGTAGCAGCTGTTGTGTATCCTTGATATAATTTAGCCATCAATCGGAGAATACCTTGTAGGTTACACCACTTGACGTATGCTAGATGGTACTCATTAAGTTTATAAATAGGCAGTGATATTCTCACACACCCTCTTTTTGGTCTTTTTAGCTGTGGCTTTCAGATGTAGTTGCATGTAGATAGGAACACTGCTGACAAGGTGCATTTGCTTCTTTGTTCCTTCTTTGACTTTTGAACTCTATCACACACACGTGTCTATCACACACTTCCTACACACACTAGTATGAATGTCTATAATTTTCTTCTGGTATTATTTAACAACAGAATTTTTTTTTTTATAGATATTTTTGCCTAATTCAAGATACTCCAAATTTGTCAATATTGAACCCAGGGTTTGATAAATGCCTAAGGAAGGTCTGCTCTAAAAGGTGATCTGTAAATAAATTGGGATGACTTACAATTAAAACTCATCAGTGTTCAACCAAATATCAATGCTCTTGCTACTTCTCATCAAACACTTTTAAGTTTAAAGCCGCATCACATTGAAACACCAGTTCTCATATGTTCACCAAAGTTAAGCAACATCAAGCCTGGTCAGTACCTTGATGGGTGACCACTTGGGAATACCAGGTGCTGTAAGCAGGGATGTACAGCTCATGTAATGCTAATGGATTATAATCATTAATCAGAGAGCTAAGTTCCAATTCCAGTTGGGTTTGTTATATTCATTTACGGGCAAATACCTTTAGGGAAGGTATGAATCCACATCTTCTTCCCCAGCTAAGGATTAATTAGTAAGACTTGTATTGTTAGAACATTTTTATTTCCAAAAATAAGATTCTTGCAATCTAAAGATATTTTCTGGCTTTAAATAACCTGTAATGGGTTGATAAGCTGTAAAAAAAAACAAATCAATTAATCAGACACTTCTTTCCTGTTAATGTCTGCAAATTCAATAAAAAGACATTTATTTTTAATCTGCTTATTATAACCTACATTATAAAGATTTTTTGTTATTAATATCCTCCTCATCATCATTATAATAATTATTATTATTATTTAAACAAAACATGTCTAGTATCATGATCATGAGTCCTGTAATCTCTTAGGGTTGTTGTGGTGTCACATGTACTGCAACCATAGCAGTAGTGGTGTGCCTGGGGTAAGATAGTCTAATAGAGCTAAAACCACTCCAGGCTGGTTTAAGTTTCCTTTTGCTTAGACTGGTTGCCAACCAAGGCTATATAGGGTCTAGTCTGTCATGCTATTTATCCATGGCTGGAGACAGATTCCTACCTTCCCCAAAGGTATTTGTGCATAAATAAATGTAACAAACTCAACTGACGAATTCATCATTCTGAGCTGCTATTCCCTGCACCACCATGAATCTTTGTCTAGTATATGAAGAAATATATCAGTTGGAACTAAGATAAAAAGAAATGTAAAGCTAAAAATAGTCTTATCAGGAAATAATAATGATGATGGAAAGGACATTTTTAGCCTCTTTTTTCTTTTTTTTTTTAGATCCCTTGGGCTCAATGAGAGATTAAGGTTGCTGGTTGGAAATTTTAGTGGAACCTGAATCTAATATATAAACATTTGAACTATCTAATATGCAGTTTCACTGCATATTACACAACTGAATGTTGAAAAAGTAAAAACAAGAAAATTGAACTGCATATTGTACTTAAGTGTGTGCGTTCTTCCAGAAATACTTCATTTTTATATTATTTGGTAGATTAAATTGATAACAAAGATCTCAGTTCTGTGTCCAATATTAAGGATAACATAGAAATGTCTTTGCATGTATATTCAAAGAATTGTTTACAGAGAGGTGTTATTTTATTTTGGTAAATAACAAGAAAATCTGCCTGTCTCCAAGTTGAAAATAACTGAATATTTTTTCACTGGAACCAGAGATTAATGTTTGAACCAAAGCAACATTGAAAATATAAAATGCTGATTTTTACCAGGCTGCAAGCCCTTCCTGGTTGGAAGACTGGTGCAACATCATCTTCCAACTGTTCTCCTCTCTGTTCACTTTATAATTAATATCAAGAATTTCATCCTTTAGTTGGTTGAAAAGAAAAGAAAGTACATTATTATCACTATTTATATTTGGACTATTGTCCTCATCTTTGTTGTTGTTATCACAACAAAGATATCAACAGTCTGAATATAAATACAGACAAACCTCTCTTCTACAGACCCCACCATCAATGGACTTCAGTTGCAATGGACAAAATCTGCAGACAAAATAAAAATAAAAAAAAAAGTCAGCAGTTAAAAAATACTTCCAAATCGTCAGTGATGTATTTCAAAATTTACAGGCTTAGATGAATGAGTCGTATTAGTTCTCAAAGTGACCACTTGGTGGCAGTGGCAGGCTTTTCAATTGTAAACAAAAATGGGTGTACAGTATATAAAGTACAATACATTAGTGCATGCGTGAGAAAGTAGCCGTGAGAAATCTATTATTGTTGTTTTGATTAATATATCTATATTAAGTATATATTTATTTATGCCATATATACGTGTTTATAGTATTTACATTATGATCATAACTAGTGGTAGTTACTATAGCGGTTTTATAACTCAAAAATAATCCCTTCCCATCTATTGACAATCACCTTTAAAGGACCACTCCATCTCCCTATTATGAGAGATTTGTAAATAATGATAACTCTTCATCCAAAAATTCAGAAAGAAATTAAAGAAAGTACAGTTTATTCATTTAGGGTGGAATTATTTTAAAACTAGAATTAATTTTTTTTTTTTTTTGTTCAATGATAGCATAACAAATCAAAACGATGGAACTGTTTCTCTAATTTTTTTTTTCGTGTTTCTATTTTCACAGATGACAACAGGGTATACTTGGTTCTCTTTGGCTGCAAAACTCTACCAGTTTTTTTTCCATGACTTAGACAAGAAGTCATCGGTGTTCAACAAAATGAGGTTCAAATTGGATGTTGACATTAGATTTTCTGAGAAGTAAGTTTCTCCTTTGCTCACTACCCCGGGAAATTAGATAGATAATTCATTTCTTTGGTATTTTACACATTTTCTAACTGATTGTAAAAAAAAAAAGGTTTCTGAATTTTTTTTTCATCCTCAAGGTAGCCATTTTCTTTTTGCAGAAAACTATGATTTTATAATGACATTGAATCACTGTCATCTTCAATTCAGCAAATTTTGAAAAGTTCTTAGAACAGTTGTCTTTATCTGAAAATATCTTATTCACAATAGCATGATTTTCACATATAACAACTGTTAGCAAGACTGGATTATCCTTTAGTTTAAAATAGGCTTCAGCTCATAAGCTTTTATAAAGCAATGATTTTAATTTTCTAGAGGTTATAACTTTTAAATGGTTTCATAAACTGAAATATCATTATAACATTCATATTAATTGACTTTGCAGGAAGCTAAACAAGGAAAAGAATGTTTTAGTTTTTGTCATTGTGTTTCAAGGAGATAACATGTTTGATTTTATTTTAGAATGTTTAAATGTTAGAAATTTTTATAAAGCAATGATTTTAATTTTCTAGAGGTTATAACTTCTAAATGGTTTCATAAACTCAAATGATATCAATATGACAAACTATTTTGATTGTTTTATTATTATAAGGCTGGTTATAAAAAAAATATTTGATTTCTGTTGTGTTGAAATGTGCCAGTTTGGTTTGCAATAAATAGTAAAATAGCAGTATTTTTTTTTTTTTTAAAAAATGTGTGGAAGTTTAAATATCTGGGAAGTGTTTTGATGGAGGACGTTATGTGCGACACTGAGATCTGAAGACATATTGGGATGGCCAAGGATGCATTCCAAAAGCTGGACAGAACTGCAAGACAGTAGGATTTCTTTGGTGACAAAGAAAAGAGTACTGAACTGCTACGTAACATCTGTCCTCCTATATGGCAGCCAGTCTCCTTAAAGAGAAAGAAGAGGCTCATGCCGATGGAGATGTGGTTCTGCAGAAGGATGCTAAGGATATCATGGAGCAAGTGTGTGAGCAATGATTAGGTCTTGGAGAGGATGCAAACAAGGATGAAGCTTATACTTAATATAAGGAAGAGGCAGATGAAATTTCTGGGACACATAATGAAAAAGAACAGCCTGAAGAATCTGGTACTCACAGGTTGAATAGAGGGACAAAGAGACAAGAGAAAGTAACACATAACATACCTGGCAGGTTTAAGCACATGAATGGCAGAATGTGGTCTGGAGGAGTTGGCAGAGGCACGAAAGGACGCAGCACATAAAAACAAAGAAATTCTAGTTTATTTAAAGAATTTGTAATAAGTTTACTTCAGGCTAAGTAAATGTCCCTAACATATATCACAAGTAAAAAGTATTCACAATGTTTGCGAGTGAATTAGAGAGTGGCTCTGTCTGAGTAGGCGCCATCATTTTATTAGCCTAGGGGCCCCAAAAGGTCATAAAGCAGCCCTGACTGCTAGACTTAATATTTGAACTTGGGAATGCTGTCAGTGATCACAAGATCATGCATAGTTTTTCTTTACAAGAACATATAATGGAAATGTAAATGAAGTACAATTTTAGTAAAGAACAAATGAAATTATATTAAAATCAGATATATTTTGTTTTTTAAATAAGTTTTTATCATTCAAACCTGTTAAACTAGCTAACAGAATATCACTCCAAATACTTAGATATATATGAGAGATATATATATATATATATATATATATATATATATATATATATACATACACACTAATAGTATATTTGGCGTTGCCGGGGATATAACAATAAGAGATAGATCAAGTATCCACCATCATAAAGACTGAAAAATAAAATTGACAAAGATTATTGTTTAGGGTTGACGGACATGCATGTCTTAATTAGTTTTTTTTTTTTTACGAATTGGTCAAACCCAAAGTCAAACAAAAACATTGTTTACATTGTTTTCAGTCTCTACCGATTGAATAGAATTTTATTATAAACAATTGTCTTGTAAATGGAATTTTTTAAAGCATTCTGAATAAAAAAATAAAAAAAAAAAGTGTGCAAGACAATAAGAAACTACATGCCAAAAAAAAAAAAGTGAAGTTTTGTTGAAATCAGTTGAAAAAATGTAGGTAGCCTTTCTGTAATCTTTTAGTTTTACAATTTATGATTTTTACTTATTGAATACAGTAAAAAAAATTGCATATTTTGCTTGTGGTGATTCATAATTAGAACTCTGATTTGAATATATTTTTTTTCGTTGTTTCTAATAGAAAAATATTAACTTTATTTGGGTTTATTAATTATGATCTAACAAATCTTATTCATTTAGTAGCCTTTCTGTAATAATAATCTTTTACAATTTATGATTTTTACTTATTGAATACAGTAAAAAAAATTAGACACCATGTATATTTAAAATAGTTTCCGGTTATTATTTTTAGTTAGGAGGACTTGTGTATGTTTAGATTTCATTATCTTTCCCTAAAGATATAGAATTATCCGATGTTTGGATTCGTACAATCAGTAGAGATCGTTAGATTATTGTTTAAGGTTGACGGACACGCATGTCTTAATTATTTTTTTTTTACGAATTGGCCAAACCCAAACTCAAACAAAAACATTGTTTTCAATCATTATGAGTCTCCCAATTGAATAGAACTTTATTATAAACAATTGTCTTGTAAATGGAATTTTTAAAGCATTCTGAATATTAAAAATAAAGAAAAACGTGTGCAAGAGAATAAGAAACACTACCTGCAAAAAAAAAAAAAAAAAAAAAGTGAATTTTTGTTTTATTGGCTGAAAAATGTAGGAAATCCGATTCCATATATAAAGGAATACACACTCACAAACAACCTTGGTTTTTAACCCGATGTGAGTTGTCCCCCTTTCATTCACACAATGTCTCTTAATCGTGTTTTCAAATTGATTTTGTGCAAAAACAATTGTATTTTTCCAATTCTTGGCGCTGTTAGAACCACATTTTAAAGGTAATTTTATGTAGAATTGTGAAGTTTTGTTGAAATCGGTTGAAAATGTAGGAAATCTGATCCAATATATAAACGTTACAGACACACTCACACACACACACACAATCTGCGTTTTATAATAAATAAGATACATGTACACAACGTATTTATAAAGCTTTGTGACACAATATAACATCCTGATGTTGAAGTGTTGCTAAATACAAAAATAAAGAACCCATTCAAATCTTATTTTTAAATAATTTTATCAGTTGATTCTTGAACAGTTTAACTTTCTTGATATTTCAATAAGTTCTAATATTGTAAAAAAAAAAGGATTAGCTTATTTTATCTTCTCTTTATTAGCCTACATTGAAAACTTCCTGGGATTTTTCTTGGGGCATTCCCTGACTAAGTGAAGAAATGTATAAGCTTGCTTTTTAATTTATGTTTTTACCGTTTTCTTAATTAGGTGAGAAATTATGTAGGTGTCAAATGTAGCATCATACAGTTGGTATTTAAATAAGAAATTGTTATAACAACACTGTAATGTTTCTCTTAATTCCTGACCACTGACAATCCTGTTCTTACTGTGTTTTAATGTTCTTATATAAAATTATTGGCTTAGCATTTATATTATTTACAAATTATAGGCCTATCAGACATGCGCGCACTGGGCATGACGATAAACTGCATCCGCGTCCTGGGTAAGATGATAAACTACATCCAACAGCAAGGCCTCTGATCAGGAGGTTTTGAGAAGTGTCGAACCACCTCTTAATTGCTGGTGTTCCCAGGTCCAACCCGACCTGGGATGGTAGCACCTGTTAGGGTCCCAGATATGGGCAAATAGTTGACCCCACAACCTGACTCAAAACACTATGAAAGTGTAAAAATAGATTTTAATACCAGAAATACTTTTTAAAAAAATTAGTGTCAGCAATAAATATTTGAAAAAAGAAAATATTACCAGAAATAAAAATCTTGTCAGCATTAAATAACTCATTGAGGTTAATATGCCACAAAACAAAACAAACCAAACTATACATTTTTTTAAAAAAAAAATATTACCAACTATACATTTTTGAAAAAATTACTAGCTCTACATTTTTGAAAAAAAAAAAACGGAAATTTTGTTGGCATTAAATAACCCATTGTGGTTGATATGCCATAAACCAAACCTATCAGACATGCTTTCCTTAATTTTTGATAACTGAAAATTCCTTCCTTTCTGAAACTAAATGTTGAAATTTAATTTAGGTAAATAAAAAAAAAATTGAAAACTTTGCTGGAGCCATAAATATTTAACTTTGCAAAGTAGGGCTGCTCTAGAGTAATGGTAATGTCAATGGGAAACCAAAAAGAAGGCTAAAAGCTTTCTCATATTTATCAGAATCAAAATGAAGTTAAAATACAGTCATTATCATTGTTTTAGGAATACTTCTAGTCTTTCTTTCATTGTTACTAAAATTTGTTGTTTCACTATATATGTAATCATTAAATAGTTGGGAGTGCTATTAAGTGTATCTCAACAGCTATCCATTTCAGTTTTGATAGACAGCATCCTAGTAATAATACCAGAACATTATTCAAAATGTAATAGATACATGGCTTGCTATTTTTTCTTCTATATGCATGCTAGAACCACTGATTTTCCAACAACTTATGATCCATAACCTCTCTTAATCCAGACAAAGTTATGAGCAAATATTTGATTTTCATGAAATTTCCAGACTTATTCACTGAACCGTAATAGGTAGCATCATGTACAGCATAACTTTAATATAAGTTTCTAACAGTTAATGATGCTGAAGGGATACATAATTAGTGAGTCAGAGGTCAATTATTGAATTATTATTATTATTTCTGTTGATCTAGGACAGTTCTGGAACTTACTGTTTGTATAAATTGGTGGTGTGCCTGTATTTATTTGATCAGTACTCATTGTAATGTTGTAGGTTAGATAAATAACATAAATGATTTGAAGTGGTGAATACTGGCAGTTTTTTTAACTTTGACTGCTGACAAAGGTTACTGTGAAAATTTAGTCTACCTTTTGCCAAACGGAAAGATTGGCAAACTTGGACCTTCATGTCTGCAAAAAGGAGTGTCAAAAGGATGGTTTTTCCCTTGACACCACTATTATTTTAACTACCTTCACTCCTCAGCAATGTTTATTATTTTAAAAAGCTATGATTTGAATTGTAATGAAACCTAAACCTATGAAAGTGAATTTATACATTTTCTTTTTTGTTGTCAATTTCAAAAAAAAAAAAAAAGAAAAAAAGAAAATCACTTGCAAACTGACAACAAAAATAATAAAAACTATTTATTACATTGTACATTTACATTATTTATGTATTATAATGTTTGGCAAAACATCAACTAATTGACAATTGATCCAAACTTTATAAAATGGTAAGTAAGGATTTCCTTATAGTAGGTTCACGTGTTTTAATTTAGTAAATAGTTATGAATAAAAAATTGTTTTCATATTTATTTCTTTATAAATTGGTAAATGATAAATATTGCATTGCATTAGTTTTAACTGTATTAGTTTTTAGAATGTTGTAAATATAAAATTATTCTTGTAAATAAATAATCTAATAGTGTTTTTAATATTTTTGTTGTAAATTCTCAAGAACAAAAAATATTATAAATTCAATTTCATTATGTTTCAGTTTTATTATATTCTGATCATTACAAAAAAAATAAACATTGCCAAAGAGTGATGATAGTTAAAATAATAGTGGTCCTTTTGACAAAGTTTTTTTTTTCTTGCCAGCACGTTGATGTTTTATAGTCACTTATTGCAAATTCAGAGAATTGTTTTGCTTGCAGAACATTATACTGAAAGGCTCAATGAAAAAAAAAAATAGGTATTCAGCTTTGCACTTTTCATTGTGGACTTGGAAGCTGTGTGATTTACACATGAGATTTTAGTTTTTTGTTTTCATGAGTCTGTAAATTTTTATTTTATTTTCTTTAAAGTGATTCTGAGAATGTCTTTTCTTTTCTAATTTGTTCTCTTCTCTATCTCTTGGACTTCTGTTGTTTATTTTTCTCTTCATCTGTCTTCCACACTTTTTACTCATAGCTTCATCTATTGTCGTGGATATGTGCATAGTGTAATGGATAACGTCTCAGAAAAATTGGAGAGCCAAGTTCAATTTCCAATTACATTCATTACATTCACTTAGATGCAAATATCCTTGAAAGAGATATGAATTCATCTCTTCCCCCCAGATATGGGTTAAATATTATTTGTATCTAGAAAAATCATTATCTTCCCAAAATTGTTAATGATGTATTTACTTACAAAAAAAAGAAAAAAAAAGAATTAGTCTTATAATCGAAAAAATGTTTTGGATATAAATAACTCAGAAAGGGTTGATAAGCCATAAAAAATAAATCAATCAATTATCTGTTGCCTACTCTTTTTTTCATGTCATCCTCTCTCTTGTTGTTTACCTTTTCTCTTTATCACTTCTTCCCTCTGCATCAGCTCCACTTTCTTCCTCTTTTTATGTCCATCTTCTCTCCTTTACTATCTTTCTTACTTCCTTTTCAATTTCAGTCGGTGCAACAAGGTGCTGCCAGTGGCCGAAAATGCTTACCAAGATGGACTCCCCACGCATTATACATTCAGTTATCACGTTTCTAAGGTAAAAGTCTTATATTAAGAAAGAAAGAAAAAAAGAACAGTTCATCATAAAATAGTTCATGACATCTTCCCTTATCTTAGATCAAGCTATTGGGTTATCTTTTAACCTTGTAAATTGAAGTTCATCTTATGCTTAACAACAAAGAAAATTTTACTTGAAGTTGTTTTGCCTTTGATAACTGTTAGGTCAACTTAGGTCAAATCTTGAAACTGAAATAATAACAAAGAAAAAAGAAAATCAGTTGGAAGTTAAAACCCTAAATCTCATTGCAGGAGCTCACAATCCTGGGCTTACTCACCCATTAAAATATGACCACGTGCCTAAATCAAGGACAGGTTTCCCTGTGGTAGGGACACAAAAAACAAGGACCCTGATATGTGCTTCCACATGCCACTCATCCATACTACCACATTCATCTTTGTTCAGTGTCATCCTCAGGATGAAGGGTTCAGTTGAATATCAGAGAGGATTGACAATATCTTCCCTGAATTGCCCTTGGCCAGCTTTCACAGATACAGTGACTTCAATGTTTACCATGAAGGGTGGTTAGTCCACTCTAGTAAAACTGATGAGGAAGGCAGATATTGAGGAGACTTCTCCATTGCATAGGAACTGACCCAGGTCATTGAAGAACCCCCAAGTCCCAGATGTAATGAGGCAGCAGGCAAACCTCCTCAACCTTTTTCTAACATCCTGCTCTGACAAATGCTCAGCAAAAGTTTTAACCCCCATTGGCACATCAGGTTAGTGTCCAGATTGACTCCAACCCAGTGACATTCCCTAATTTATCGTTCTATAGAATGGTTTTTCACTATGTGAAGGCAGACTGGGACAGTTTTTGGTTCTATATGATGGAAGCTCCTCTCCCAACTTACATCAAACATACTGCCCCCAAAACTGCTGCTCTAATCTCCAAACAGATCCTTTCTGGAATGGAGTATTTTAAACCCCCAAAATAATTCCAACAAAAACAAAACCATCAACCCTTATTTACCCCTTAAGTGTTAAGGCATCTTTAGGTATCAAGGATGACCTGGTAATGACTAATGTTGCTGGTAGTTTTTTATGATAATTCCTTTTAAATAATGGTAATAATATCATCTGAGTACATTTTATTATGGAATTGGGCCAGACAGAAAGAATCATCTGAGGTCAAATTATGGCATATAGTAGTGAGGGTTGTGAATAACAGCCTATGAGAGACCAAAATTTTGCATATGAAAAGCAGGGAAGGTTTTACCATTTTTGCTGTGGAGGGTTATTATATGCAATTAGTTATTGTAGCTACTCTTTTATACCGAAAATAAATTAAACTTTATTGTAGTTATGTCGGTAAAGAAATGTATATGTAAAGCATGAAATTGTCCAGTTTGAGACATCTGCTAGAAGTTTTGAAAATACTCCTCATTGATAAGCAATAGATGTCTGTTCTACTGCTTGAATGAAGTTTATTATCCCCACTTTTTTCTTTTTTTCTTTTTTCTATTCTTTAACAGTTTAATCAAGCAAAACGTGTTTTTGCCCAGTATGCCAGGGGACCAGCCTATGATAAATATTTGCGGCAATTGGAGGAGTCTTGTGAAAAATGGTGGAAAAATGGACGCCAACTATGCGAGGAGGTCAGCCTCACAGGACAGCACTGTGTGAACCCAGTAAGTAAAATATTTATTTTTCCATCACTGCTCATCCGTTTATGAAAGAAAATGCAAAGGGACATAGCAGCTACTGACCAAAGAAACAGGAACAATAAAAACAAGGTTTTAAGTTTTCTCTAACACTGTTTTGCATTGAAATTTTTAAATTATCTAGTTGATCATAGGTTAAAAAGAGGAGGTAGTTTTAGACAATGTTTTCATACTGTTTTATAGTTGAATTCTTTTTCAGCTCGTTACGACATAATTTCTGTCACCAAGTAGCATTTATTTTCTATTTATAAATTTATATGTTGGTTACAATCCTGCATGGAATGACTGCAAAAACATCTTCCTCCTCAAATTTATAGACAGATCATACAGATACATGCTTGGATTTCATCTTATCCAACACAATATATCACTTCTCAGTTTCATCCACCATATTTTTGTTCTTTCTTGTCTTGAAGTCAGAATGCTACAATCCCTTGTCTGTATCCCTCTTGTGTGTTAACACCATTCTTAGTTTGTGAACCTTTTGCCTTATTACTGTTGCTTTGCCTACTTTTGTCTGGCATATACATATATACATAGCTATCCTCACTGGTAGCATGACTCAGAGTTTCATGCACAATGCAATCTTCTGGTGCTAAATTGAGATTGCATTTTGGCATAAAACTCCAGGTCGTGCTACTCATGAGAAAAAAAAATGTATATTTATTAATATATAATATATAGCTCTGTTATATTACATTGGGCACTATTTTATTAACACCAGCACTTAATGTGCAATATTTTAATATATAGTCTGATTATTATCTTTGCCCTGTTCCTTCTTTCCTTATTCTTATTGTTTATTGGAAACTTTGTCAATTCTGTTTGTTGGTCATATCTGCCAATTCCACTTAACCATGAACTCTACAATATATATATTTTTTTTTTTCTAAGCCCAGCTTAGATGTGGCACAAGGCCAAAAGTATGGGGCACCCAGTGAGGATCAAACTCACTAAGTTGTAATTGACCTAGCAAGACAAGCTTCCTAACCATTGCACCATGTTGAGGTGCACAATATATATATATATATATATATATATATATATACACATACAAATAAAGAGAAAGAACAGAGAATTCACAGTTCTTTAGCATTTACTTTTTTTTAAAAAAGTGCTCGATACAACATAGAGCATAATATTTCATGACCGTTCCTCTAGACAAGTATGAATACCCAGACCCCCCCCCCCCCCCACACACACACAAACCTCTAACCTATATTTTTCACTTTTCTGCTTTAACGGAACATACCCATAAAATATTGAAATCTTGTTCCCCCCTCCTTCTTAAACTCTTCAATAAAATTCTATTCTGTTTTCAAAAGTAAATCATTTTCATCAAAAGTTACCTAACATTGCTTGATAATGGAACAAATTTAATGTTCTGAAGCATTAGAAACTTCCATGTCACAATGTAAAATATTTTTTAAAAAAAATATTATTAAAATATATTTTTTTCTTTTTCTTTTTCTAGTTACATCAACTTCCTGACAGTTTGGAAACTGAAGAGAACCAGCATTTACCTGTGATGCCACATTCAAGTCAAGTAAAAACTAAAGCTGCCTGTAATTGTGGACGCAAACAGGCTGAAAAGGATGATCCTTTCAGCCATGAGGTAGACAATTGCTGATATAATTCACAGAATTAAAGTAAAGCTTTTATGGAGTAGGCTGAAAGATTCTGGTCAAATTTTAAATCTGTTAGGACTTTTGTTTTTTTTCCTTTAATAATTCACATTTAACTATTTTGTTTTTAGTATTACTCTGGGATGAAATCAAATGATGATTCATTGGAATCTGTACATAGCAATAAGAAGCAATGATTCAGCTTGAATACTGTTTACCAAGTACAGTGCTGTTTGATAAAAGTGACTCACCTGATTTTTTTTTTACTAAAAATATTTTTTGTCTTGTTTTTGGGGTTAAAATAATTTTTAATCTTACTAATAAAGACCCCATCCCAACCACCTAGGAAAAAAAAGGTTATTCACCCTAAGGTATTCTATTGATAATTATAATTTTGGATATAAATGAGATTCAGGAAAAAAACTCTGTGCAAAAAAGTGACTCAGATATCGCATTCTAATGATTAAACTGGTAAATTTAAAGAGCTTTTGACAAAATATTGAAAACTATTTTACAATACACTCAGAACAATATTCTAGGGAATTCTAGAACAGCTTAAATTAAATCTAAAGTATTCCAGAATATTCCAGAAAGCCTCATACAGTATAAAAACAGCTTGAAATAGCCACTCGTTATTAACCAGATGAAAGGGTACAAACACGCATCAGAACCACTTAAGGCATCTATTATTGCCCTCTCAAAAGCAGGCAAGTCTACAGAAGAAATTGCAGAAATTGCTATAACCTCACAATCAACTGCCTCTCGAATGCTTAGGGCACATAATGATGCCACTCCTGCTCCAAGGAATGAAACAAGGGGATGAAAGAAAAAGTTTGATGATAGAACTGACAGGGTAATCAAGAAAGAAGTTGCGAAGAATAGGACTATAACTAGCCAAGAAATTGCAGCCAGTCTAAGCGAAGTGTTAGTATTGCCTCTTCAACAATCCGATCAGAACAAGGTTACAAATCTTGTACACGAAGGTTTAAGCTGTTAATAAGCAAAGCCAACAAAGCCAAGAGACTTGAATGAGCTCACTATTGCAAAAATTTTACCATAGAAGACTGGAAGAATGTTCTCTTCTCCGATGAAACGAAAGTTGAGCTAAATTCAAAGGATAAGGTAAGTCACTTTTATCGAACAACACTGTACATGGTTCTGGAACTAGACATCCAATAGACTAAAACAGTTGACTAAATGGAATAACACTAATAAACTAACTTGGTGATGCAATCTTATAGCAATATTTTGAGATGTATGACTCACTGAAGAATTGGATCAAGATAATTGGAACTCTTCTTCCTACTTCATCTACTATTTTATGGGCATGTGGCTGACTAGTTAGAACAATTACTTTTCAACTATAATGCCCAGGTTTGAATCTTGTGGGGGTCAGTCTTAATGGATTAAAAGTGGAAAATTATAATCTGGGTATTGTACCCACAATTATAACAAAACCTGAAGAAATGATTTCTTAGCAGAGACAGCAGACAAAAAACAGATAGGCATAATTATACATTTAAATACAGGTTGATATTGATTATTTACACAAGATGTTGAGTTTTTGTGGTTGCGAATGACCAAAGTTCAAATGTTTGAAAAGTTTGCTAACATTCCTTGTGTTAAGGAATGGAACATATAGTCATGTGCTTTGATAAATATATTAGTACAGTGTATGTGTGACTGCTGATGATTGTGTGTGTTGATAAAACACATTAGTGAAAAGCACATGTGGCTGTTGGCTGTAATGTAGGTATGTGTGTGAGAAGCACATTAGTAGAAACACGTGTGTAGATGCATGAAAATTGTCTTCAGTAGTTTCCAAAATGTAAAAAAACAAGTTAGGAATAACTTACTGCCTTTTCTGGCCACGGCTATGAATAATTTTTAGGCAAGTGTGTGAGATTCTTTGTTGGTGAGGTAGTTGAAACTCAAGATCACGATGATGAGAGTTTCATAGAGACAGGCGCCATAAATGTTTCTCTGCCTATCTTAGCTCTCAGGTGTGTGGAGTTTGCAAATATATACATTTTTTTTTGTCATGTGATAGGCTCCAAACAAAAACTTTTAACTTTAGGCGGAATCGTACCTAATGACCAGTTCATTTGGAGTTCAAATACACAGACGTATTTATAAACACAGTATTTGGTTGTTTTGGCCAGTCAAATTTCAGAAACTATTTAATTTTTTGAATCCAAAGTTTTTTTCTTCGGTGGTCTCTACCTATTCTTGTGTGCATTTTCTACTTATTTGTGCTTCCTGCATTGGTTGTAGAATGTAGGATTTTATATTCTATAATCTCCCCATGGTCAATTTGTCATGGAGATGACTACTTGATTTTCTTGCCTTCCAGAGGTGATCCCAGCATGTTGTACTGCTGGAAAGTGCATCGTCACAAGTCATTGTGACCAAGGGTTTGAACATCTGCACCAGGGATTGGTTAACTACCCTTGCAGATGGGTGTCTTTGGAAACAAGTAGATGGCCATTATCTATTGTTAACAGTAATTAGCTTGAATATTTATTACTTATTGGAGGTGGGTGTTGCACAGTCATAGGTGAAATATATTTAAATTGTTAATCTTAGGTTTTTGTTGAATTCATTCTTTGCTATGGTAATTATCAGCACTGTATATATGTTTATCAATTCCATTTTTTCAACAGTTTTAGTTATTATTGTCTTCCTCCAGGACTGTGGACCCAGTAAATGGTGGTCAAGCCAAAACTGTCCTGGAGTGAGGAATTTCTTTGACTTGTGGTTAGTTTCTTTAATCATCAAGTGAATTAGACTTTGATAAATGTAGTGAAATCAGGAATTATGGTTTGAATGGCTGAAGAGATCTTGTGAAAAATTTCTTTCTCTTCAGTCTTCTTGCTCAATCATTGAACCAGATAGTGATTTAAGAAAACTTATATATGATGAAAATACTGAAGTGACTGATAAGAACCACCTCTCCTTTCCCTTGGCCCAATATTTATCTAAGTGCAACTGAAATGAATATCATTGAGTCTTTTATATTTTGACTTTGAGTGCATTAATGAGGTTCCAATCTTTCTTGCTAAACTTACTACTTGGTTCCTTGACATTCTAGTAAGTGTACAAGGACAATTTTTTTCAGGCCTATTTTGTGCAGTAAGTCTGCAGTGACATGCAGAGGTGTGGTAATGCCCGGGGCTAACTCCTTGATTGTATGACCCTAAGGCTCATGTAGAGGTGAGCCTATTCCGGTCTCGCTTATTAAAACATGGATCCACATTTACACCAACTTGTGGGATTGTAGGGTGCTTGTACAACAAAATTAACAATTTAAAATTTTAAAAAGTAAATTTTTATTTCACTATTTGATTGGATGTCCTGCCCTCTCCTTTTGCACACTATTCTAAGTTTGACACTCTAAGTTGTTTATCTTTCTGTGATGATCAGATTTTCAGAAGTGAAGTTTTCAGTAATTTGTCTTTTGTGTGCAATAAAAATTTACTGTCGATGCTATTCCTGTAAAAATCCATTATTAAAAAAAGTAATCATAAGGAGAATGTCAGTGGTCAAGAATTAAAACAAACAGGAATTTGAATTTGCCTCTCCTGTTTTTAATTTCAGATATAGTTTTTGTTTATTTCAAAGATGAGTTTTTTTGTTTTCTTTTTTTTTGTTTTTTTTTCATGATTTCTGACAGGAGTTGAAAAATGACAAGTTACATTTTAATTTTTTTTTTTTTTTTTTTTGATAATTGCAGGCAGCAAATTTTGAATTTTATGAGAACCTGGAGAAGATCTGTTGCTCTTCTCTGCAACATGTAGAAATTCCTGTCTTCAAACCAGATACAGACAGTTTTGTTGCTTCCCCACTTGTCAAATCAAATGGCTTTCACTTGAGGGATGGATCCAAGGGTGATCTTGCTCCTGGTATTGGAAATCTAAGCCTAGCTCTCAGCTTAGGTATGTAACTAGTTTGGTTTTAGTTTGCTTTGCATTTTTTTCTTTTATTTGGTAGGTTTTCTTTGCTCCCCACTTCTCTTCTTTTTTTTTTCTTTTTTTTTTTTTCCTTGTGCGCCTCTCGGCCTTTTTCTTTCCCCCATCTTCTTTGCCTCCCTCTCTCTCTCTCTCTTCTTTGCCTCCCTCTCTCTCTCTCTTCTTTGCCTCCCTCTCTCTCTCTCTTCTTTGCCTCCCTCTCTCTCTCTTCTTTGCCTCCCTCTCTCTCTCTTCTTTCCTCCCTCTCTCTCTCTTCTTTTGCCTCCCTCTCTCTCTCTCTTCTTTGCCTCCTTCTCTCTCTCTCTTCTTTGCCTCCCTCTTCTTTGCCTCCCTCTTCTTTCTAAATTCTCTCTCCCTCTTCTTTTCCCTCTCTCTCTCTCTTCTTTGCCTCCCTCTCTCTCTCTCTTCTTTGCCTCCCTCTCTCTCTCTCCTTTGCTCCTCCCCTCTCTCTCTCTTCTTTGCCTCCCTCTCTCTCCTATTGCCTCCCTCTCTCTCTCTCCTCCTCTCCTTTCCTCCTCTCTCTCTCTTCTTTATCATCCTCCCCTCTCTCTTCTTTGCTCCTCCCCTCTCTTCTCTCTCTCTCTCTCTTACTCTTACTTTTTCATTATCTTTTTTTTAGTTAATTTCTTAAAATCACTAAAAAAAAAAAAAGCTATTTATCTTTTGTTCTCAGTGGATTTCTATTTCATCCAATTTTACTAAAAATTCTTATAGATATATTTCTTTCCATTTAGCAGTTTATTGAATTCACTTGGAAATTAAATTCATTTGAACCTAATCATCTCTGCGTTTTTGGAACAAACACATATTGTCATTATCTTGGCTAGAGGAGCTTCTTGAAGGAAACTACAGATCACGTATAACCACTTCAAAAGTCTTCACTCCTGATCTGAATTCAGTTTTCCTTCTTGTAGATCAGTTGTCAACCTTGTCTAGACTGACCATTCTGCCCTGCTATTTTCTCTGCATCAAGAGAGAGGGTGGAAGAGATGAGAAGAGAGTGTGTGAAGTGAACAGAAAGTGTCTCACTTTGAATTTGAACTTGGTACACCACTTCTGTCTTATTGAACCTGCATATTGTTGGAGAAATGGCCTTAAACTTTTAGATGTTTGGTTCTCACACTGAGATGTGGTATCCCATTTTATATCCTTCTTCATTAACCAATTCACTCTCCTTATCAGCTTCTTTTTTTCAAACAGGACAATCAGGAGGAAGTGATTTATTTAACTCTGCTACTCTGAACCATGACAGCTTAGCTGATGCTGGGAATAGCCACCAGCAAGAAATCAGACTTACCCAACCAGGTAAGTAAAAAGAAAAAAATAAAATAAATAAATCAATCAATCAATAAATAAAATTCATACTATATATATATATATATATATATATATATATTCCCAAGAGGATAGAATTCAAGTAGAACTCAATGTCCAGGACAGAGTAAGAATATAATAAAAAGGCTCAAACACTAATATTCCATGGTTATAATTATTACATTGGAATCGTAATCACAATCCAATTCATCAGACCTACAAATTCAAATATATATATGTGTGTGTGTATGTGTGTGTATATATATATATATATATATATATATATATATATATATATATATATATATAAAAACACACACACACTTTATGATTAGTATAGATGACTTATTTATCACTGTTGACTTGGGACAAGGGTTCTTTCCCTCTCATCTCAAGTTTGGAATTCTGTGATCAGTTCTGTCATAGTGTCAAGTCAGTTTCAGAGATAGAAATATGGGCTTCCCATTACAGAGTTAAAAATACTGCATGTGTTTTGTTTTTTCCTTTTATTATTATTATTTTTTTTTTTTTTTTTTTTTGCAGTAGAGGTGTTATTTTTGTTCATAGTCTACTGAGATTTGTTCAACGTCACCAGTGTGTATATATTATAAATAATTTTAACCAACTGTATACTATTCTGACAAAGGTTTTTCTTGCAATTTGGCATATTGAACATCCAGAATAGGCAACTGCTGCTTGTAATCAAAATAACTGGAGGTATTTCCAAGAACATACATTGTATTAGGCAAATGTCAAGTGTGCAGTTAGAAAAGGGGAAAATCATTGATGTAGCACTCATATAATTGTGGCCGAGTATGCCTCCTCAGTGCAGACCTGGTTAGCCACAAGAAATTATATTGGTAGACCTTAGACAAATTACAATTAATACTATGCTTAAAACTTGTAGGGTGTGTCAGACAAGCTGCAGAAACTGGTCTGGTGTCACCCATTACATGAAAACCCAGGAGTAACTTGAACAGAATTTACAAAATAAGCCAGGCCCTGTACAGAACAAATTATTTTATCAATAAGCAATTCAAGTCACTTGTTGGTTTCAACAGCCCTTGTTCTCACAAGAACTAAACCTTGTCACTCTTTTAACAAATTGAAAGCTATCATACACACACACACACACACACACATACATACATACATACATATATATATATATATATATGGGATAACAATATATAATTTTTTTTTTTGGATATCAAGAACAACTTTAAGGGAAAGAAAAAGAGGAAAAAGGTTTTATGTGATGTGTTTCATCCTTAGGTCTTCTACATTGATGCAACTACACATGTGCACAGATGACAGATGGTAATTTTATATTTAAAATTTTTTTTTGTGTCTGTTGGTTAGATTATATACCCAAAACACACATAAAAAAAATTTTTTAAATTTTAAATTCCCAGCATCTCTCATCATTGGTGCAATCAATTTTTTTCTTTTTATGTTTTTTGCTATATCCATTAATGGGCTGTGCAATAAGAGTTTATATAATTCGTGTATTTCATTCATCAACTTAGATGCTAGCAGTACCAACTTATTTTGATCTCCTCCTCAATTATTCACAAAAAGTTACTAACACTCTCCCCAACTTACTTATTAAATCCCACCTCCCTATGAACTTATTAGACATGGAAGACAAAATATTATAGTTGCATTTCAGTTAGACTGATTTTTCTACACATCTATAGGAGGTCAACTTTGGGCAAGCCAGTTTGTATTGTTTTGCACATTTTGGCTCACTTAAAAACACTTGCAAAATGCTCTTTGTTGATTTTTCAGATTTTGGTGAAGTGTGTATTTCTTTACCATTATTAAAAATATACTGAATTATCATTTGGAATTAGAATGTTAGTTGTGATGACACATGCTCTTAATACAACATAAAAATCCCAAATTTGTAATTGACAGAATCTAAATACTTCAAAAACATTGGTGTATGGATTTATTAGAACAGATTTTCTATAGGACAGATTGATCTGGGGATAATTTGGTTGAATAATGTACAATGCTATAAAATCAAAACATTAACCTAAGAACTGCAGTCATGTTCTTCAAATAGCTTCATCAGATCTAAATTCTTATATGGATGTCATGCATGATGTCCATTGTCTTCAGAACTATCATCTGCATCCAACTCTTCAGAGCATACCAGGTAAGCTTGGATGTGCAGGTGGTGTAATGGATAATGGCTCAGAATTGTTAATCGGTGAGATGAGTTCCTATCTCGTTGGGTTTGTTATATTCACTTACATGCAAATACCCTTGAGAAAGGTATGGATCCACCTCTTCTCCTCCAGGTAAGGGTTAATTAGTAAAACTTGCATCACTAAAAACATTATTATCCCCCAAAAAATAAAAATAGAATTGCATACAAAATATTTAGATTTCAGCATTAATTAAACCATAGAGGTTGATATGCTACTAAACACAACCAACCAACCAACTAAACCTATGCTAAAGATTTATTGGGCAGGGTCATTTACTATTGACCTCCAGAAGTTTTGTTTTTCTTATGAGGACAATTGTAAATAACACTGTCCATTAAACTTATAGCATTAGATCTGTATGTAAAGCTGGAATTAAAAGGAGATAACTGATAACTGACATCCATTAAACATGATTCCGTCTATATTTCTGAGATGAGGTATTATGTACAGTATTTACATTAGTCGGACTATTGTTGTCATCTTTGTCGCAACGTTTCGGCCGTTGTACGCTCCGGCCTTCTTCAGGTGGTTGGAATTTCGAACTGAAACCTTTATTTCTAGTTCCACGTCCCATGTTTGATGGATGTCAGTTATCTCCTGCTAATTTTCCCTCTGAAAGTTCTCCACTGCCTTAACCAGGTATTGAACTCACCTTCTTTGGCTCTGTCACTGGATCTAACCAACACATTTATCCACTGTGCCATGTGTCCTTGAGGACATCTGGGTATGAACTTCTGAGTATTATAAACCTAATGTTTTCAGCATCATTTTTTACCAGTGCTCATATTGCAATTTTGCTGTTATCATTGCATGTCTTTACCAGAGTTCATATTGCAACTTTGTTATCATTGCTTTTCTCTGGCACTCCTTATTACTGGTTCCCATATTGTATTTATTTCTATGCTTGGTCGGCTCAGGAGATTTTTGTGGCCTAGCATATGTGCTGATTCCTTAAATTAAGTTTATGTTGAGATCATAGACAGGGAACACCATTGGAAAATTCGTAAACAGAGGGAAAATTAGCAGGAGATAACTGATAACTGACATCCATTAAACATGGCACATGGAACTAGAACATTCTACCTCAGTGAGTGAATTAAAGGGTTCAGTTCAACATTCCAACCACCTGAAGAAGGCTGGAGCATACAGCAGCCGAAACGTTGTAATAAATATGGCAACAAAGATGAGGACAATAGTCTGAATAATGTAAATAGTGTACATAATACCTCATCTCAGAAATATAGACAGATACTAAAGCTGGTTATCTCTTATCAAAATTCTTATATCAAATATATATACGTAACTATCACCATTGAATATATCAAGCTTTTTATCATTCATATTATTTAAAGACATGTATTTAAAAAAAATTTTTAAAGACGTGTTTTTAAAAACATGTATTTTTAAAGGTGGTTGTGCGTGTGTAATGATTAGCTAAAACTCTAAAATCAAATACTTAAAACAAAAAAGTATTTTTAAAGATGTATTTTTATTCATATTATTTAAAGACGTATTTATTATATATTATTCATATTATTTAAAGACATTTTAAAAAAAAAAAAATTTTAAAGACGTGCTTTTAAAGGTGATTGTATGTGTATTAGCTAAAACTCTCATATCAAATACTTAAAACAAAAAAAACATTCTGCTTGCCTAGTTGAGTTCCTATTCCTGTTAGGTTTGTTATATTCACTTAAGCTCAAATACGCTTGAGAAAGATATATGAATTCACTTTTTCTCTTCCAACTATGGGTTAATTACTAAGACTTGTATTTCTAAAGTATCATGAAATGATGGTTTAGAAATACAAGTCTGTTCTGAACGGACTCACTTCCAAATTCTTTCACACAAATAAAGGTGTCCTCCAAGGCTCTATCCTGGGTCCTACACTGTTTCTGATCTTCATAAAGTCATCAGATCCCAAGTACGCATCCATGCAGATGACACTACCATTTACTCCTGTTTCAATAGCAAATCTGTCAGAGCAATTTGAATGGGGAGTGGCCCCCTATTTTATAGACATACACATCAGATTTTTTTTTTTATTTATTATTTGTTCCATCTTATTTTGATATTTTTCTCATTCCATTTCACCAGAGGTCGAACGAGTCTTTGATCGTCAGCATTCAACAACTGAGTATCTGCCTGGAATGGTCAACACAGATTCACCATCAGGTTTACTGCCGAAATTTTCTTCTTGGAGTTTATGTATGATTGGTAAAACGGCTTCATACAATCACACCCAAGGTAAGTTCCATCCTTTAAAACATGTCTGAAAAATTATGGCAAATGTTTTAAGGCCTAACCTACCCTTTAAACAAAATTTCTAAATTATTCACACTTTAAAGACTGTTATATACCGTACCTATAATGGGTATGTCCCAATCCTCATAAATACTTTGGACACTATTGTTATTGTAAGTAGTGGGGGTAATATGCTGTCTAAGTAGTCCACTACTAGCAGTGTTTTATCAACATCACGCAGCTGGTTAGTATTGTATTTTGTTGATGTTATAAAGATTACCATTTCCAATGTCTGTTTTGGTTATTCCTCATTCAGTAACTTTTTCTAGATTACAACAAAGAGTTTGAAAGGTTGAATTATTTTCTAATTTTATTTTTTTTTTTTTTTTTTTTTTTTACCATCATTTCACAACACTAAATCATCTTCAGAATAAAATTTCATGTATAATCATTTTCTTCAGTATTTACATTAGTCGGACTATTGTCCTCATCTTTGTCGCCATAATTGTCACAACGTTTCGGCTGTTGTACGCTCCGGCCTTCTTCAGGTGGCTGGAATTTTGAACTGAACCTTTTATTTCGATCACTGGGGTAGACTGTTCTAGTTCCACGTGCCATGTTTGATGGATGTCAGTTATCAGTTATCTCCTGCTAATTTTCCCTCTGTTTACGAATTTTCCAATGGTGTTCCCTGTCTATGATCTCAACATAAACTTAATTTAAGGAATCAGCACATATGCTAGGCCACAAAAATCTCCTGAGCCGACCAAGCATAGAAATAAATACAATATGGGAACCAGTAATAAGGAGTGCCAGAGAAAAGCAATGATAACAAAGTTGCAATATGAACTCTGGTAAAGACATGCAATGAGCACTGGTAAAAAACGATGCTGAAAACATTAGGTTTATAATACTCAGAAGTTCATACCCAGATGTCCTCAAGGACACATGGCACAGTGGATAAATGTGTTGGTTAGATCCAGTGACAGACCCAAAGAAGGTGAGTTCAATACCTGGTTAAGGCAGTGGAGAACTTTCAGAGGGAAAATTAGCAGGAGATAACTGACATCCATCAAACATGGGACGTGGAACTAGAAATAAAGGTTTCAGTTCGAAATTCCAACCACCTGAAGAAGGCCGGAGCGTACAACGGCCGAAACGTTGTGACAAATATGGCGACAAAGATGACGACAATAGTCCGACTAATGTAAATACTGTACATAATACCTCATCTCAGAAATATAGACAGAATCATTTTCTTGTAGAAATATAAAGGATTTAAGCAGCAGTTTTATGTGAGGTATTTTCACTGTTCTTCTCAAATGCTTATGGAATGTCGTTCACTTAGATTTTGTTTCTAAGATAGTGTTAAAATATTTGTTCCCTAAAAATAAGTAGTTGTGAGTTTTTTATATTTATTTCAAATATATATATATATATGTGTGTGTGTGTGTGTATGTATGTGACATGGACTCTTATGTTAATTTTGATGTCTTACGACCCAACAGATCAGTTTAGACCTGAACCAGTAGACCTATTCAGAGCTAGTATAGAATTTATGTAAACACTTCAGTGTTTGAAGTGAATGTGAGTTCACATGTAACGAAAGTGAAATAGATTTTAATATCGTATGACTTAAATGCATATTAACTTATTTTGCTCTACTTAAATGCATTAAGGAATCAGCATATATGCTAGGCCACAAAAATCTACTAATCTGGCCAAGCATAGACATGAATAAAGTATAGCAACCAGTAATAGAGAGAGCCAGAGAAAAACAATAACAACAACAAAATTGTAATATGAGCTCTGGTAAAAAAAGAAAAAAAAGGAGTTACTGAGACATTAGGTTTATAAGTCGCAAAAATTCACTTACTGAAGTGAGTGGATAAAAGCATTGGTTGAGTAATCCAAAAAGTGACTTGACCCAGAGTTGTAAGTTCAATACCTGGCTAAAGCAAAGAGAGCAATAAGTTGGAGAGTTGAGTTACTAAAAAGAATTAACTGAAACTGAGATATCCAAAAAAAGCATGACACATGGAATTCAAACAATCCCCATTGACTAAATAAAAGGTTTGGTTCAAAATTCAAACATATATCACATGAAGAAGGTCAGAGTGTACAACAGCCGAAACGTTGTGAATATAACAGTAAAGATGAGGACAACAGTCCGAATGATTTAAATAGTATAAATAGTTACAATACCACATCTCAAAAATATAAACAGATATTAGACACATTCCTATTAATTAAAATATGAAAAAGTAATAAAAACTATAAAACCTAATATTCATCCTATCTCTTATATATATATAATTCTCAAATTGTGTGTGTGTGATCGGATGTTGTTTATGCATTTCCACAGTTTTCATCCGATTTCGATGAAATTTTTTGTTTGTTTGATAGATTATTCTTCAGTGCTGGTTTTGAGTTCAAATTGTTTGCAACAATAGCTCTCCACTACTTCCAGTCCATTATAACTGTCAGCAACGTTTTACTATTTACTATCTGTTCTTTGATATGTATATCTTTCATAAAAACAGTTTAAATTGTTACAATACAGTTCCCTTTTCAGGGCCACTCCCCATTCAAATTGTTAAACCCCCATTTGGGGATGTGCCTCAGTTGTACCCAATTGTTGTTACTAATATTGATTTTCAGGTGGGCTGACTTTAAACTTAAACTGCTCCAATGGAACGGCAAAAATTCTCAGTAATGAAAGACCCGGTCAAAGACGGGTTAAACTGCTAGTAGTACATAAAATATAAAAAACTTTCAATGTATTTAGTAATAACATTTCTCCACAAAAAACTATTTTGCAGCAGATGAAGGTTGTATACCAATTACCTAGTTATTTAAGAAATTGTCACTGTTAATTAAAGAAAAAAAAAAAACACAAATCTATATTGGTCCTATTACAGGTTGTATCTTGAAAAGACTGATCTTTCATCTCTTTGAGCAAAATGTCATATATATAAATACCTCATAGAATTACTTCACCTTTCCTAATTTCTATCTGATTTTGGTTGACAACTGAAGTAGTATTATGACATTTCAAATGCAAGAAAATATGATTAAAAATCTTGAAAGACCTTTACATCAAATGAAGGCAACCTACATTGAAAATATTTTATTCAATCTAATGTATTGCAATGCCTTGAAACTGTAGTGTCATTTTAATCATATGATACTACATTTTTCAGTTATAACATTTGAACACATGTATTTCAAAATTTTGTGTGTTAATTTAAATACTATCATTCAACTTTTTACACTATTGACATCAATCATGGGTGAAAGTACTTGGAACACATACATGATTTGGTACACAAACTTTTTTTTTCCAACTGTACTTTTTCAGGTTTGGAACTTCCTGGTTTTTTCCATGGGAGCAATTTTTTATTGCCCTGGGACATCACAGTTCGGATGGAGAGAGACAAGTGGCCAGGACTTGGGGAGGCTAATAAAAAGGGCAAGCAAAAGCGAGTACCCAAAGGTCAGTTATTCCACACTGTTTCTCTCTCTGCACATCAGGACGTAAGAGGTGAGGTGACAAAAAGACAATTTTATTTTTTGCTTTATTTTCTTGTAAACTCTGCTGTAGATTTATCAAAATGCTTCCTTGAGTGCTTTTTTGTTTTGTTTTGTTTTTTTTGCTTACAATGCTTAAATTTTTAAAACATTCTGAGATTTTTAAACATAATCAAAAATCAAGTGACTACAATTTTAACAGGTGTTGTGTAATTTCTTGTCTGATACTTTGTCTTCAATAAACAATTTGAATTTTAATCTTCTGGGTGTCATAATAACAGGTATGGTTTGAACTTAAATTATTACAGTCAGCTTATTTTCTTATATAGTCTGCAATAATTGTTTGTTTTTTTTTATTGGGTACAATAGGTTAAGTTTTGTACAAATTAGTATTGATGGTTGTTTTACAAATTTTACAATAGTAACTTTCATTATGTGTTAGCAATTTGTTAGATGGTGTATTTTAATTGATATGAATTCCTTCTGGTGTAAATATACACCAGAGACTCTCTCAGGTTTTCATTGACTAGACAAATCACCCTATATTGTGTTAGGATTCTCATTTGTATAAGTGTGACAAAAATCATTTGGGAAGGCCCTGCATAAAATATTGTAAAAATATTGCTATGGCAAGAAAAAGAAAAAGAAAATCTTGTTCCTAAAACAGTTTATTTATTCACAGATTCACTTGGCAGTGTCTGCGGGTGGGTGGGTTTTAACACTTAGAACATTTTTTGCTGCTAATTTTGTCTTCTCTCATAATAAAATAATTGATCAGAGTTTCTCTTTGGCTAAATGAGAACTTGAATCACTTCTGTGCCCATCTCTGATTGCAACTGCCTTCACGTTTCCAGGTGACAGTTTGTCACCACTGATTATCCAACTTCTTTCTGACTACCATCTTGTCACACTGTGGTCAGCTCACAGATAATTGATCTATTATGCAGGCTATTTAAGCCTACAACTGGAAATCCCTACACTCTGCCTGAGTGGCACTTGATCCTGAAAGATTTTACTTATTTGTTTCATTTTACTTTGTACTTTTGGACAAAAGTTTTGAAGACCTTATATGTCAATTTTACAGTTGGTTATGAAACAACAGAACCTTCACTCCCAGATAAAACCATTTAAACCCACTTGTATTTGTGGGTGCTATAATTATGTTTTGGTCTCATATATTGGCATTCCTTTGGTTTACAAAAGTCTAAAGAGGCTTGAAGAGTTGGTAGTTGGAATATGAACCAACAGAACTGATAAACTTCATCCAACCTAATGACCTAAATTGAGTGACTTTCAGTTATGAATTCCTAAGCTGATTTTGAAAAAAAAGGATCCTCCTTTGTCAGTTCTTTTAAATCATTTTTTATCTGTGAAGATGTACATTCATTAACTATTTGATTAAGTACATGTGAACAGATGTATTTATGCAAATTTCTAATATATATAAGGAAGCACAGTGGAATAGTGGGTAACAGCTCAGAGAGCTGGGTTCAAATTCCAGTCAAATCCATTACATTCACTTACGTGCTAATGCCCTTGGGAAAGGTATGAATCCTCTTCTTCTTCCTCCAGTTATGGAACAATTAGCAGGACAGACTGGGTTCTATAGCCTTGGATAGCAACTGATCTAGAAGGACAACTCTGAATTCAAAACCTGCGGAGGGTCGTTTGGGGAACTTGTGGCACGTAGTGCACCAGGTCTCTGTATTCAGCCCTTCAAAAAGTGTGGTTGGCTCTGCACAAAGCCTTCACCACTATAATCAAATCATATGTGCTGGTGTCTCGCTGTCAGTTCCTAGGAACTGAGTTGCTGACCCTCATATGTCAAATACGACAACATATACACATCACCATATATATACATACATACATACATACATTATATATATAGTGTGTGTGTGTGTGTGCATTATGGGGTATATACATTTTGTTTTTATTGAATTTGGCTATCCATGCCCCCAAATTATGAATTATCCTTCACACAAACAGCAGTAGTTGTTGTATATAATTTCCAAACTTTTTATAATGGTCCTAGCTTTTGAATTTTTCAGTCATCCTTGTGGGTGAGGGGTGCAATTAGTGTATTATGTGAAAAACAGTTATAGTTGTAAATAGTGCATTTAGTGCAATGTTAGATCTAAATTTCAAAGAACAAATCTGAAAATGTAGGATGTCCCTTCTGACATGCGTCACAATAATGAGCACATGCGATGATGTTTTTTTTTTTTGATTTTCATATGCAATGAAAAATGTTAAGTTGGAGACTGTAATTACTTTTATTATTTTATTAATCTCCAATTGGGCAAATAAAGTCATAAATAACATTGGTTATATTTAGGGGGTTGGTGGGTTGAGAAATAATATTTTTTAAATTAAGTTACTAGTTTTAAATTGATGATAAATTGGTATTTTTTTTTCTACATGTTTCATATATCTATATCATGTCACACAATTTTTCAGCACTTGAAAGTTGAAGTGGCTATCAGTATGGAAAATAATCTGTAAACAGTTTAAATTTCAGTGATAGGACTTATTCTAATTTCGTAATGTTCATAGCTTTAGAAAAGGCATGAATCTATTTATCTGTGCTTTGTCTCAATGACATGTTTTTTGACAAAAAAAAATGTTCTCAGAAAACAATGATGTTGTCGTCATTTCAGTAAATATAATTGGCTGAGCTAAATTTGTAGTGTATAATAATTAGTATTGTAGGTAAAATTAACCTACAGGAGGCCTTACCTTTGGAGAAAGGCAAAAAGTGAGATATATAATGCATCAAAACTGCATGGAATTCTGTAAAAGATGTAAACAGAACTAAAATATGTCTTCAACAAGAATAACATTATTCTTTGATGTAAGATGCTACTTAATTTCAGGCATATACATCTATGTTGGATGCTTGCCTTTGGGCATAAAAAAATGTAATTAGCATCTTACGGTTTTATTACATATATTTAAAATGTGCACCTTTATACCATCAAATATGGTGTACATATTTTAACGTTCTGTTTAGCTTTCATTGATTACTAACCAGCAGCAATATTTTTTCCTAATTTTCAGTGTATTTCAGCAAGTTTGGCAATATCTTTTTAATGGTTTTATTTAATCATGTGATTGTTTTCTCCCTATTGATTTTGTTTTGTTTTTTTTTTGTTTTTTTTTTCTTTTCTTTTTTTTCCAGAACAAGGCGAGGTGCTAGTACGAGTGTATATTGGTATTGAGTATGAATGCCCTCGTGCCCATCGTTTCTTCTGCAGTGGACCTGATAAAATAATTAAGGTTTCTAGCAGCAGCAGTGTCAAGGTAAGTGTTGTAAACTACGGGTTTTTTATACAAGTTAAATATTTTTGTTGCAAAATATTTTATGAAAAAACCAAAAAAATTTTAAGTGTGGAAAAATCTGGTATAAATATATGAGATTATTTAACTTGTATAATTGTAAATTATATTTTCATTGGTAATATTTATTAAAAAGAATTCTATGGAAACATTCATTCTCTGTAATGATGAAAAAAGTCCTACCTGCTATAAGTGTAAACAAATCCATAAAGAATTTCATTCTCTCTAATATATACAAGAGGGAGGGTTTATTAATCAAATCGATGAAGTTTTTTTTATTCTCTTTAATGATTACTTATATAAGAGGGAGGGTTTATTAAACAAATTCATCAAGAATTTCATTCCTGCTAATGCACTGGAACAAAGAATGTGATATTTATGCTCAGAATGACATTAGAAAGAGCAATATAAGTACAGAAGAATGTATACCTATGTTTTATAGATTCTGCAGAAGCACATGCTAAGGTATGTCACAAGGAACTGTTGGAACATCTAGGTAAACATATTTGGGAAGAATATTAGAATATTCCAGAATAATCTGGCAGCAAACTGTTTGCATATGGACAGAAAATGAATTCAGTAAATATACAAAAATAAAAAGAGGTGTAAGCCAAGGATGAGTCTTCTCACCAGACTTATTCAACCTATACAGTGAGGTAATTCTGAGAGAATTAGAAGTCCTACCAAGATTCATTATTTGTGACTACAATCTTAAAAATATAAGATATACAAATGAGTGTTGATAGCAGACACAGAAAGGAAACTACAAGAGCTCCTACAGAAGGTAGTGAAGGAAAGCAAGAAGAAAGGACTAAACATCAATTGCAAGAAGATGGAATGCATGGTTGTTAGCAAAAGGAACAGCTCAACATGCAAATTACAAATTGAAGATACCAAAATGAAGTAAGTGCAATGATTTAAATATCTGGGAAGTATTTTAATAGAAGACAGAAAGTATGACACTGAAATCTGAAGGCGCATTGGGATAGCGAAAGATGCCTTCCAAAAGCTTAGCAAAGTATTATAAAACAGGAAAATCTTGTTAGAAAAAAAGTAATTAACTGTTATGTAATATCAGTCCCTCACTATGGCAGTAAATACTGGACAATTTCACAGATGAAGAAAAGATTTGAAGCAACAAAAATGTGGCTCTACAGAAAGATACTGAGAATACCAAGACTGAACATGTGAGCAACTGCAAAGTTTTAGAGAAATTGGAACAAAACGGACACTTATGCTTAGCATCAGAAAGAGACAGTTGAAATTTCTATGGCAAATAATGAGGAAAGAGGGATTGGAAAATTTGACACTCTGGAGACATATTGAAGGCAAGAGAAACTGAGGAAAATGGTTCATAACCTACTTAATGAACTTGCATAAATGGATTATAGAACAGGGAGAGGTAGCAAAAAGACAAAATTTACTAAGAGCTACAAAGGATAGGAAATTGTGGAGAGTCATGTCCTGAAAGGACATGACACATAGAAGAAGAATTTCTGTTGAAACAACTATACTCCAATCGTGAACTGATTAAGTTTCACATTTATATTTAAATGTTTTAATTAATTGCAAAACAAGATCTGACATTCTTAGATTGAATGAAAATTTCATGAGCCATAAAACAATGTACAAATTCTTATGGAGGGTGTAACCTTCTTTGTAAAATTACATAAAGTTAATGTATAAATATAATCTCCATATATGAAAATAGTTGCATGTGTGTGTAATATCTATATGCACACACACACACACACACACACACACACACATGTGCATGTACATCTACAAAATTCTGCTCATTGGCAGAAATGCCCATTGATCTATAAAAAAATCTTATTTTTTATGGATTTTGTAATCATAAAAATGACTTGTAAAATGCAGAAAAAAATAAGAAGCTGGGTGGCTACTACCTTCTTCAGATTACAGAATTACTTAAAAGGGGTTAAAGAAAAAGGAAAAGAATTTGTCTCTGGAAGCATGAAATGGTTGCTTACATGGCTAACGTTGCAATTTTTTTCAAATCAGACACATATTCAGGTTGGGTACTTACAAGTAAAATAAGCATTACTTTCTTCATATAAAGAAAAAGATTAAATTATTAAATATGTATATTTTTATATGCCTCTTGTTTAAGAAATAGTCGGATAAAAAAATATCTGATTAAATTCTCTAGCATACATATGCTGACATGAAGTGGAAAGATTATATTGAATCAATTGCTTGGTCTGCTGTTAGGAAAGTCAATTCAATATTTTCTTGACAGAATCTATCTTACATATTAATAAGTCTATCATTCAAATTTGAATTTTGCTATGAGTTTCTGCTATATATTTAGAGATTCTTGATAAAATCCAAATCTGCAATGTTCTTGGTCTTGACCTGACATCTCAGCTTCAGTCACTTTCCTATCACCATAATGTACCTTTTTCAATAAATACTTTCATGGTAACTGTTCTAATAAATTTTCCTGTATGGTACCTAGACTTTATGAATTTAAGAACAGTACTAGATTGCCAAAGCTATGGGCAAATAGCAGAACAGACTGGGTTCTATAACCTTGGATGGCAACTGGTCTACCACAGAAAGAAATGGCAACCTACTGTGGGAAAAATCTGCCTTTTCAGTCATGTATCAAAAGATACATGATTGACTAAGCATGTATCACACATTGCACATAAAAAAAAAATAGATTGGCAGAGAGGTCTCTTCATTTTACAGTTAAAATGACTGGATGTAATCATCAGTTCTATGCTGACAGTTGCTTTTATCATAATTCTCGCTTGTGGAACTCTCTTCCAGCTTCTTGTTTCCTAATCAACTTTGATGTTCAAAAATTTATATGCAATGTCAATTGTTATCTTTTGTCTTCTTAATTCTAGTTCTTTTATTGTTCTCTCTCATATTCTCTAACACTCAGTAATCCCTTGCAGCCTACTGGCTTTATTGCCTTGCTTGGAGTGAAATGATTTAAAAAAAAAAAAAAAAGAATATGTTGGTCCATTCTCAATAATTTCCTTGTCTTTGTTGTTGCTTTATTTTCTCTTTCAATGTTTTAGATGCTACTTTTCAGATTACCAAAGAGATTTTTTGGAAGATCTTCTGACAGACTATGCATTTCCCACCTATATAGTATTTAATTCCATCGACATACTGGATCGGTATTCTCTTGAGCCACATACTGAAGTAGATTAATTTCACTCCCCCATCTCTTATTTTTTGGGGGTTCATGCATTTTGGAATCTTAAATTTATCAGTTCATCTCGTATAACTAGTTTCTTCTCTCTCTCTTTTTTTTTTTTTCTTTTGTTTTTTTTTTCTTTTGTTTTTTTTTTCTTTTGTTTTTTTTTTTTTTTTTTTTTTTTTTTTTTTTTTTTTTTTTTTTTTTTTTTTTTTTTTTTTTTTTGTTTTTTTTTTTTTTTTTTTTTTTTTTTCTTTTGTTTTTTTTTTTCTTTTGTTTTTTTTTTTTTTTTTTTTTTTTTCTTTTGTTTTGTTTTTGTTTTGTTTTTTTGTTTTGTTTTTTTTTTCTTTTTTTTTAGTATCTTACACACCGAAAACATGACCACTCGGATTTTTTTTTATTCTGTTAGGTTTTTAGGAGCTGAAATTGGTCATTTGTTCTTTTTGATTGATGGCTCCTCCATGATGTTGATATCTATTTGGATTGCTGATTGGATGCTTTGAGCCAATTCTGTGTGGGTGTGTTGAATCCTTGAAACATTTTAATCTTCAATGCTGTTCATTGTCCCCTATATTGCATTGTTTTCAGAGGTTGGTGTTGACCCTACTCCAAACATTTCTTAAACTTTCTCCATAAATGTCTACATAAAAATAAATGTAACTTGTTTTTCTTTTTTGCCCCAGGACACAGCACACAAACTGCTTACCTGTGACATGCCTCTCTATTCAGCCTGTCCATGTCGGTAAGTCATTTTCCCAGTTATAAGTTGTACAGCCAATTTTTTTGTGGCCTTTTTGAAAGTATTCTTAAAATTTGATGAGTTTCTTTGTTTCAATCACTGCCTTGTTTTTCTTCAGTTGTCTTTGATAATTATTGATTAGCTGTGAATCAATATTTACAATTTCTGAGAAATTCTTTAGAAAGAACACTGGGTGTGACAGGTAAATGGATAAAGCAAAAGATTACATGAAATAGACACCTGAGGAACGGAAGAGAGTCAAGTGGCTGAAATAATGACACTATAGATGTTGAAATTTATTTGAAGGAATCAATGTATCATTAGATCAATGGTTTGTATCTGAATCTGAAATCCCTCCGACCACAGAATAAGGGGAAAAAATTGAAGGTTCCTCCTCTTTATGTCTTTTAGCTTTTTGTGTCAAATTGCATTTTCTGGAACCCTGTTCAGGACATCCACATTGAAGAGGAAGGTGGGATTATAGCTAGATTTCTAGTGCTTCTGTTTTATATTCAGTGGATGGGTTAAGTTTTCTAATCAGCATCTGCTTGATTGAAGGGGAACAAAAGAGTAATTGTGCAGATGAGGGTTTTTTGAGGTGAAATGACAACAAAAGCATACCTACTGTTATTGGTTGCTGGTCTTTATTGCAACTGATGTAGTCAGTTATGGTCTGTTCTTGGCAAAGGACAGACTGTCCTTCATGTAGTTCCAATGCTGCCCATTCATATTGCCAGCCACAGGTTGTGGATATGCAGGGGGTTTGTAGTTTACAAGTTCATGAACATTGCACTTAATCGTTGTTTATGTATGTGGTTATGTATGAGAGAGTGCGTGAATGAACAAGTGAGAACAATGGAACAAACCAAATTTTAAGAAATGTTATTGTAGGAGGAAAGATTTGATCTATTAGGCCAGACAAGGCCAACCGCTTCTAACCAGTTGTCCGCATAAAATATGGCCAATCATAAAGCGGGCTGCACTACTCAAAAAGAGTCAAGGTAATTTTTCATTGATGGTGTCTTGGCCATTTTCACTACAGAAGAACCTCTGCGTAAGTATCTATCTTAAAAATGGGAAAAATGGAGAAAAATTTTTTGATAATTAAAAATCAAGATCTTGGCATAATATTAACACATGACAGTGTGACTAGCACATGCCACTATCGTTATTAATTTCTAATTTATTAACTTGAAAACACAAAAAAATATTTTTTAATAAAAGTTTTAATAAAGTTCTTTTCCAGAGAAAAAATTATTATGAACGTTTCCAGTTTCTAAAGCAAAAGATGTTTGCACATTTTATCTGCCATAGTGAAAATGTTACTTTCGCCAAAAGTTTACAAGTTCATGAACATTGCACTTAATCGTTGTTTATGTATATTGTTATGTATGAGAGAGTGAGTGAGTGAACAAGTGAGAACATAATGGAACAAACCAAATTTTAAGAAATGTTATTTTCCTCATGAGATTAGGCATGCAATTCATAAAGCCAAAAGGGCCGCATATGGCATACAGGCTGCTCTTGACTGTGTTAGACTGTCATAGCAGTTGTCCCAAGTGTCACCTACCTACCCACCAACCAAGCAAGGAATATCCTCAATAAAACATTTAATTAATATTACTGAGAAGAGGATTTGAATTGTTATTTGTAAATGTGGCATTTGTTTTCAACTATTTTTTTTTTATGAATGTGCAGTGAATCCTTCCTAGTTTTTGGTGCACATTGACTTAATTGAAAGGCAATGTGGATGATTTAGTGGCTGATTTGTAGGAAGCTGGGGGAGGCATGTGTTGCATATTTACAGTTCAACATGATTTTACTTGAATTTTCAAGAATAATAATTATATGAATAATTTTTATTTTTCAGTCATAAACGGTTTAGAAAATCTATTTTTATTAATTAACTTTATCAGTAGCAGATCTGCTTTTCATCTGTTAATCAGTTTCCTGTTATGGGATGAATGCAGAGTTCAAATGAAATAGCTTTTTACTCTTTATGCAAGTTGTAGAATCTTGTCATTATTTAGTATTTGACTGTAGGACAAGCATTCAAATGAAATTAATAAATGAGAGAAGATAGGTGCTTTCGTTCTCAAGAGAAAAAGAGATGATTTCTGTCTAAATTTCTGGGATGAGGATTTCATTATTTACGCTATATTTGGACTATTGTCCTCATCTTTATTGTAGTTATCAAAACATTTTGGCCATTGTGACCTCCAGCTTTTCTTAGTTATATATTGATCTGGGTAAACTACAGGAAATACTGAACTGCACACTTTATTTAATCTACAGGGATAGACTGTTCTCATTCTATTGCTAATATATAGGGATATCATCTAGTGCTTATTTTTATTTAGTACTGCTCAGTTAGTGCTCACCTGTTTCCACTGAATGCAAGTACACACTGCCCAACCCAAGGATTGAACTCACCATATCACAAAATTCACTTCAATTCCTACCATCCTTATAGTGTGAAGAAAAAGATCATTCAGTGCCTACAACACAGGGCAAAAAAATCATGTGGTGACTCAGACAAATACCAAAAAGAAATCTAAGATGCACTTTTTAATACATCATTGCCTTGTGTTAGAAATTTTTCACTTTGTATGAAAATGTTTCTGTATGGGATAATCTTAATTTTCAGCCTGGTTTTTGTACTATAAAAAAAAAAACAATCTGACATATCATGAGTATGAACTCATTGTCTGCAGTGAAGAGCTTTTATTGCAGATGAAGAAATGTCAGGTGAATAACTGAACATATGAGCTTCATTTGAGCAAGTTAATTTGCCAGTGGGAAATCTAGTTACATTTAAAACCAATTTTCTTTCACTTTTGCATATTGGCTTCCAGAGTTAGTGGCAAAAGTTCACTTCACAATTATGTAATGTGTGCTATTCAAATTTCTTGACAGATTTCATGAATGCTTAACCAAATGTAATGAAGTGTGGATCACAAAAGTTGAATTTGTGAGCTGAATTAAAATTCTAGTCTGCTTTGTTATATTTACTTTTGGACTTATGTCCTTGGGAAAGGCATGAATGCATTTCTCCTTCCCACCTCCATTCATAAGTTAACTAGCAGAGCAGAACGGGGACTGTATAGCCTTGGATAGAAGCCAGTTTAAGAGGAGGACTATTCATCCAAAAAAAGTCCTCTGTCTTTGTAGCTGTGTATGAAGAAAAGGAATCTGGAGAACTATCATTACATTCACTATCAAGCAACATGGCAGAAAAATGTTTTAAGGAATTATCTCAATGCTTGTAAGAGTGGTGGTGTAGGTGTGTGAGTAGCTTTGTAAATTTAGCAGCAATTCAAAAACAGAATTTTACATCTCATGCTCTACAGAAGGATGCTGAGAATATCATGGACTAAATATGAGTAATGGTGTTATATTTGAAATCAGAAAGCGACAGTTAAAATTTCTAGAGCACATAATAAAGAAAGAGGGTCTAGAAAATTTGACAATCACATGATCTGTTGAAGGTAAGAGCAATAGAAAGGTTATTCACTGCCTTCCTCTCAGTTTGTGCAAATGGTTGGCAGAAAAATATCAAAAAGAGAAGCCTTACTTAGAGTTACAAAGGCTAGGAAATTATGGTGAGCCTTGATCGCCCACATTGTGAAAGGACATGGCACATAGAAGAAGAAGCAACTCTGAAGAAATAATCATATTTTGTTTCTAATTGACAGGAATCCAAAAGGACATGTGGCTCAGTTAATGCGTGTGTATGTTGCTACCCCTGAAGGGCCAGTGTGTGTAACCCTGAAACCAATGGTACAGCCAGGACCTCCACCACACTGTCCACTCTTTCATCCTACCATGGATGATTACTTCCGACTACCCCCTGGAGGCATCTGGGTTCTGCGCTTTCCGTATCCTTTGATTTTTGGTGGTGGATGAGGGGGGGGTGCAGGTTCTTATCTTTCATGACATAGTTTGTTAATATTGTTGAAATAGACAAAAATCACAGGAGTCTAAATGTGATGAGTAATGGATTTCTTATCCTGGAACATAATTTTTCTTGTTCCCAAATGAGGCTTATGGCCATATCATGTTGAAACATTGGTTCCATTTGGATCCCTGAAAATAAGCAATATTGAGAATGGTCTGTAATAGACTGCTTTGGAATACCAGGTGCTGTAAGATTGGATGTGCAGATGGTATAATGGATAATGCATTAGAATTGTTAATCAGAGAGCCAAATTCCAGTTGGGTTTGTTATACTCACTTATATGCAAATATCCTTGGGAAAGGTATGAATGTATCTCTCCCCCCAGGTATAAGTTAATTAGTAAGACTTGTATCACTAAACTCTTATTATCTAAAAAAAAAATCTTATAATCTAAAAATAGTTATTGGTTTTAAATAAGCTGGAATGGGTTGATAAGCTGTAAAAAAAAAAAACAAATCAATACACTTAGAAGCATTCCCAAATGTTCTGTTAGAGTCTGTTGCAGTGTTTCTTTATTATGTTTCCCTGGTATAAGTTGTAGAATTTCTGTTTGACATGAGTACATAAAGGTTTGCATAAGTTGTGTTCTTGGTTACCTGCACATCATCGTTCTCTTTGTGATACTCATAGCAATTCTGGAAATGGTAGCACCTTCTAGATCAGGAGTCAGCAACCTTTTAGAGCAAGCAGGTGAGAATGCTATGCATTGTCTTGGAGGAGAGCTACGATATCAAATGTATTATAACAAACTGTCTTGATCTCAGACTGCTTTGTCCGGAAGGCTGCTTTGTCCAGAAGGCTGCCTTGGTCGGAAGGCTGCTTTGTCCAGAAGGCTGCCTTGGTCGGAAAGTTTAAAGAAAAAACTACAAAGTTAATGCTATATTATTTAAACAATGTTCCTTATTTTACTACAGGATAACAATTAACACAATCAACAAAAAATGCAAATTCCTTACTACAAACAAAATACAGTTAAATTATTTAATGAGACACTTGTTTCTGCTTATTGTTTGATAACTTCTTCACATCAAGTAAAATATTTGTCGCTGACAGGAGCAAAACATTCACCAACATATCTACTTCCAAATAATGATACCATCGTTTTCACGTTATTCAATAGGCTTTTCTATTTTCTGCTTGTCAAAACTTATTTCTTGTAGAAGTCAACAGTTGATTCGGAATTAAATTTTGATTTTAAAAATTTCTCGCATTGTAATTCGATTAACTCCAAATATTTTTTCTGTAACTTGTTCAACAAATTAATTACATAATTAATGTCCTGTTATTAAGCTTGTGGGCCGGATGTGACCCAGGAGACCAGGGGTTGCCAACCCCTGTTCTAGATTATCTATGAAATGGGAGAGAAAAATAAAAAGCTTAGTTCAAATTAATAATTTTTTTAAATTTTTTTTTTGCTGGTAAGTTCAGCAATTGAATAAAAATTTGTTGCTGCCTGTCACATTGGAAGTAATTTACAATCTAGGTAGTCATCTAGTTTCTGTGTAAAGTTTAATTCCTTAACACCACAGTCATATTTATGTTGGCAATGGTCAGGTTTATTCAAAGCCCACTGATATGTCACAACCAACCATGTGCCGATTAATGAAGGGAATTTTTGGCTACCAACACGTGGATACTTGAGCACGCCTGATAAATTTCACTTGGAAATTCTTCAGATCTACACTGGGGTGACCCACATATGGTTTTGATGGAGTCGTGCAACAGTAATGAAGAGAGCAAAGCAGCTATGGCGCCAAAGATTGGTCTTGCATCCTGATTGGCTGGTGAGATGGATGTGCCAGAGGACTTTTTTTGTGAAGTTTGGTGAAAGAAAAGTGGGGATAAAATAAAATTTAATTTGATGAAACTGTGGGGTGTTTATTTATTTATTTTTTTTTTTTTGTGGTGGTGAGGGTGATTTTGCATATAGAATGGTGTAAGGGAAGTATACAAAAAAACACTGCAGTTATTTATTAAAATTTATTATACTATGCTTTTTCAATAAAGTATGAAAGGGAAATATTCGAGTGAATTAGAAAAAGAAAGGTAATTTGTTTGAAACAAAAAACACGCGCGCACAAAAGCTAACAAATACACATACATTGCCGGTAGAAATTTCACTTTTTGAAAAAGACGTATATCCACTCACATATGTGTTCCCATTAAATATGACATTCATAGTGATACACACACGTATGGATTGTTCAGTAAAGAATTTTCAAATGCCCAGGGTGCGATCGATAAATTGTCGTCTAAATTATGCAAAAATGAAAATAACACTGATATCTCATTTCAACTGATATATTTACTAAAATTACACAAAAATATCTTGAAATACTAAAGAGTAAATTTATTCAATAAAATCACCATTGGTTTCAACCATGGCTTCTAGACAACTTCAGGATCTCCTGCAACTCTTCTGGACAGTATCCTTGTTTAAGTTGGTGAATGCTGCCATAATCCTTGCCTTCAGTTCATCTTTAGTGTTAAAAAGGAGTATTGTTGGTCTCTCACTCAACTGCACCCCCACACAATAATCATGGGGGTTGCAGTTTGGGGAGTTAGGTGGCTAGATGTAAGGGGTGTTGTGGTCACAGAAATTGTCTGACCGCCATGACTGGGTTCTCCTGCTAGTGTGGCATGGTGAGGAATCCTGTTGCTAGACATAGTTCTGCCCTGGGTCAAGAGGGTGGCTGCTGGATAACCCTATCTCAAGACACTTAATGTGGGCCTCCATGTTAAGTCCGAGACCCTGTGGAGTCATAACATTGCCATCACTAGTGATCACTCTGAACACCTTCATAATCACCATTAGACTCGTCCAACTCTTTCTAAATCCTCTGCACTCTCCTCATATTGACACCCAAACACTCTGAAATGTTTGTATTGGAGCTTCTGGCATGAATGCCAAACAGTACAGCATGCCGTTTCCAAATTTCTAGCAGGTGAATTGCATCATGATGCTCTTTTTCTCATAGACGACGACCAACTGACCATACTATACTGTGCAGTTGATAAAATCAAAAACAACAACATGCAAAATTAAAAATATAAAAAGGTGACAATTTACCCATCGCACCTTGTAAAAAGCACTCACAATATATTTGTAGGTACTTGATATTTCATTAAAGACAAGATGGATGGCTGATTTTGTTAATGATATGTTAATTCATTGTTCTCTGAGTGGTACAAATTCAGAATTGACAAACTCACCTTAATCAAATATTCATTATTTTAAAGCTTATTTTATATAGTACATTTTATTTTTATATATATATATATACACACACACTCTCAAATGTCCCTCCTAACAAAAATTGAACATGTTTATCCCTTTTAATCTGGGGAAACCACTTTCAAGGCAGATACCCAGATATGTCTTACTATTAACTGAAAAATAAGGCAGGTCTACTCAAACATGTACCCACTAATTATGTTTATAGTAATAAGAAATATATATAGGAGACAGTATTTTAAAGTGTATATAAAATGTTTAATGGGTATAAAATAATAAAGCATATAAAATATTTTATACATTCTCTGATGCAGTTCAGCTCTGTGAAGTTATTGTACATGACACTACTTACATGTGTGTGTGTATGTATATATATATATATATATATACACACACACACACACATTATAAAAAGATGAAAATATTTTACTTTCTGTACTACCAGAGTTTCAACTGTGATGTCTTGACAGCAAAGCAAATTATATTCCTCAACACACCCCAATTTTCTTTTTAACTACTACAGATTACTGGAACTGAAGGATTTATATTCATTTTTGGCACAGAATTTCCTGACCTATTTTACATACATTTGAATGATATATATATATATATATATATATATATATATATATATATATATATATATATATATATTTGAATTGCAGCATTCCCCACAAAAATAACAGGATGTAGCCAATAAATTTTTGTCTAACAAACGGAAGACATTCAGTTCTTGATAATCATATTGTCAAAAATGAACAAAAAAAAAAAAAAATGGAACTTTGGATAGTATATTCATAATTTTGAATTGGATGTACAATAACTTTTCTTCTTGCTAATGTTCACCCACTACAAGGCCCAAGAGTCATTCAAGGTAGAGGATTACTGTGTGGAGTTGTATTAGCATAAGAAAAGGAAAGATAATAAAAGGGTGTTTCATTAAGACGGATCAAAGTCAGCAGTAAATAAATCAGTTTTATTGGTGAAAATTTATTTCCCTTTTGGATTATGTTATTTAAGTCATGACAATTATGTGTGAAAAATAATATCGCCCAAATGTCCACCAAAGCTGAAAAAAAAAGGAAAAAAAATCATTAGACACTTAATTCACATTTAAAATTGGTCCAAGTTATTGGAACTCCCTATATATATATATATATATATATATATTATTTTTTTTTCTTTTTCCCTACAGTAAAAGTTTACCCTTTATAAGGCCCGGTGGCCCCTCCTTTTAGAGGGTTACGTTAGAAGGCTATTTGTGTGTATAGGAGTGTAATGATTAGCCCTAGCCTTGAACAGGTTAAGATTGTAGTGATCGGGGAAAACATCCTGTTGGGAGCCGGTTCTACAGGGTAGTAGTTTGCAGGAATGAAGCTGCTTGAGTCGAACTTACTTCTCATCAATGGAATACGCAGGGAATGTGGGTGGTTTGCTATATAAATGGCATGGTGTTTTCATGCTGGGAAGGTTTAACTTTGCAGAACCAGGGAATGTATTTTGTCCAAGCACTTTCCGTGGAAGTAGTGTGAGGCTTTTCACATCCCACCTGTGTGAGAGAGGTTGAAGGGTGGGGAATAATTAGTCACCCATAAGGGCTCAGAGATGCTTTTGAACTCTATCAAAGCTGGAGAGTGAGGTCTGGGCAGCTCCCGCTCAAATATGACAACAGTACTCCATTTTTGGCCTTATCTGGCTCTTGTAAAAGTAAAGGATAGCAGGAGGAGTCAGGTACTTACTGCAGTGGTACAGTTTAACTGCAACCTTAGCAATGGATTGTACATACAAGTTCTGCTTGAGGTTGGATGTGAGTTTGACGCCCAACAGTCTTTCAAGACATGGTGCTTCCTTGAGAAAACATCTGTTCTTACTGATCAGTGGTAGTTCAGGGTCAGATCGACGATGATGGAATGTAACTAGCTTGGTCTTCAGGGTATTTAATGTAGCCAACCAGTTTTTACACTGTGCAAGATCTTAAGAGAGATTGGTTGCCAATTTCTGACCATTGAGAGGTTTTAGTGGTGCATAGTTGTATCACGGCATAGATGTTTACAAATGAGATATATATTCAAACATATATTGTTAAATATAACAGACAATGTCTATTATGTTTGATCATGAGCCGTTCTAAACTTCATATAGTTGCTTTAATTTCGGGAGAAAAAGACAAAAACTGTCCAACATTTTGATATTTTTTTTATTATGTTCTTCCTTGATCTAAGCTTTCGGCTCACATGAGCCATCTTCAGAGTGGTTATGCAGACATTTAAACAAAGATATTCACTATCAAAGATGATATTCTGTTATGTCGACAGAAGATAACTGTCATAGAATACACTAAATACACACACATACATATTACACATGAAAAAATACTACACAGTTAAGAAAAAGTATAATGTTTAAGTAATTTTTATTTACAAAACTTATAAAATGTCAAAACATCTTGGTTACTTATGTTCAATACTTTCTGAATATTAAACTAAACAAAATTTTATTCCTCATTCAATAATCATGATTTTGATATCACCAAATGAATCCATTGCAGATAGAAGGGAAACTCTTATACAGAGATAGAAAATTGTTATACACACACACACACACACTGTTGAATTTTATTGTCAGTCAGTTAATATTTTCACACCTGATGTTGAAATCTTAAAGATATTTCTCAAAGCAATATATCATAACTTGTTTTTGTGTTAGTGGTGTGTCTTATGATGCAAACAAAATAAATACAATATAAGTTTTTATTTATAAATATATCTAAAAGATATATGCCAAATAAATATTTGATTAACACAGTATTCTATATAGTATACCTAATGAATTATTTTTAATGTTAATATGGACTCTTGACATTTTATAACTTTCATCAGTCTTTCAATCGTTGAGTTTTTTTTACTTAGGGATTTTTGTTTGAATATAATGTTTTTTATTTACATATAAGATCATGCATGCACAAAGCAAGATGTGTATTTTTTTACATTTTTTAGGATACATATTTTTATAGGAGAAAAGTTAACCATCACCCAGTAGAGGTCAGTTTTTATCTATCCTACATATCCTTATAATCTGCACTTAATTCCTCTTCTTATGTCCTCGTTCAGTAACCCTCTGTCTTGAGTGGCTCTTGTGTCCTGTATTGGGTGAACATTTTTAAACAATGTGTTTTTCCTGAGGTGGTAAAATATTAGATTTGCGATTTCATGTTAATGTTAACTGTTATTTACTAAGAATATTTTTTTTTTAGCACAAAGCCACCAGTGTGTGGAACGCTCAGTGTGTATCAAACTCAAAATTAATGGCCAATCAGACGAGGGCCTCGCTAACAAACACGATCCAACGTCAAAATGTCCGTGTCAAGTTATTGTTGATGTAACAAACAACGAATGCAAATTTGAAA